CCCCCCCCTCCCGCTGCTCTGCGCTGACATTGGTAGCAGCACCTGCTGCCGGCGCTGCGGCCCCTGAAACCGGTCTTGAAACCGCTGCCGTTGCGCCAGCAGCTGCAAGGGTAGCACCAGAAGTAGAGGCAGCGGCGGAAGCTACCGCGCAGGCCGAGACTGTGGAAGTTGAGGCCGTGGGCGCCCAGACCGAGGTTGTTGCTCTCGCGCCTGGAAGAGCCGCCATGAACGGAGGATATAGGACACACCGCAACATTTTTGGAAGCGGCGAGAGCACTGATGAAGGTGAGTACAGATGAAGCATGCTTGACTTGATGTTGACACATAACCTTGACACACTCTCTCGCCCTTTCGCGCACTTGATCCCTACCCCGACCACTGTTCTCGCGTTCAGTCCTTCGTCCGACCGTCGACGCTGGCTCCGACCTGTCTACCCCACCACCAGAGGAGGCTCCGCCTCCACCTGAGCCTGAACCAATGCCCTCCGGTGCCACCGGAAAGAAGCGTCAGCGCGATCCTGCGGCCACCGCTCCAGGCCCGAGCAAGCGACTGCGCCCATCGCGTGGAACCACTCCCCCTAGCTACGCCGAGCCGACCGAGCTAGTCGAGAACCTGTTTCGGCCAGAGGCGGGTCCCTCATCGCGCCGCGGATCACAATCCCAGACGCGTGCACGGCCATCTTCATCTCCCGATGTGAAGACTCCCGATGTGACCCGCCGTCGTCCCGGCCGCCCACCCAAGTCTAAGGCAATGGACATCGACTCGAGCGCCGCTGAAGGCGAGAAGCAAGCGGATCTGCCAGCTACAATGGTTGAGCTGAGCAAGGACAGTAACGCAACTGTCACCGTACCTGTCTCCGCTGCTTTGCGGCCCGCCACATCTGGCTCAACCAATACCTCACACGCACGTGAAGGCAAAGCGCCTCGCGCTGGCCGCAAATCTGGACCAGCATCGACATCCAAGGCGTTGCAGAGAACCCTTCACGATTTTGCGACGATGAGAGATGACCGGTCCGCTCCCTCCAAAATACTGCCCCCTGAGTCGAGGCCAGTTGCCGACAAGAAACTCACCGCGCTAGAGACGAGCGAGGTGCAAACACTGCCTCCTAGCAAAGGCGCCCATATGAGGCCAGTCCCGGATCGTGATCCATCATCCCCCCCTCAGCGTCGCCTGCCCAGCATTGCTGACGAGGCCAAAGCCATCATCGCTGCATCCAAGGCCAGGAACGACCGCGAAGCCAAGGAGCAGTCTGCTCGCGAGGCCGAAAAGCAGCCGCAGCCCACTCCCAGGGAACGTACTCCAGAGGAGACTCGCGAGCAGGAGAGTGCGATCCGTAGCATTCCACGAGAATCACCGCCTCCTTTGCACGATTTTCAAGACATCCAGGAGCGGGCCGAAGCCCGCGATCGCCCAGCGTCTTTTGATCCTCGACACCAAGAACGCGCACGTGAGATACCTCCAGGACATGGACTACATCGGCGGCGTGAAAGCCAGAAACATGAAAGGCGTACCTCATTCGGACCTTCTCCGAGTGAGTTTGATGACAACAGTCGCGAACATGAACGCGATCGTTCATATCACGCCGATGGTCGTCGCAACTCTCTTCCTCATTACGAAGAGAGTGTGAGCTCTGATCTGCGCACCGGTCTCCCCGACACTCGCGAGCGTCAGCCGGACCCCCGCGTCAACGGTATCTACATGCCGCATGGGCCATCAGGTTTCCCGCGTGTTCAGCAATACTACGCCCCTCCGCAGCTTGCGCCTCCCGGGCATTACGGTTACCAGCCTGGGTTCTACCCAGCTCCCCCCGTGCGTCACGGGCGACCGCCGCCTCATCTTTCCCTACAGCATCCCGTCTATGTCTACGGTCCTCCGATGACTTCTCCGCGTGACCACACTCGGGCTTTATACGATAGCTCGGCTCAAGAGTGGTACGGCCATAATGGGCCGCCTCCAGGGTATGCAGTGACTCGACGGGGGCCGACTGCGCCGGCTGCTCCTCCACCGCTGGAGTCTCGTCGTCCCCCGTCCCAGGGAGGAGCGCCGCGCTCTCCCAATGACCACTCCAGCCACTCACAATTGCACCCGATCCGTGCGTCACCTGCAGACTATTCTGTCGTGCAGCTTGGCGGCCCTATCCGCGAGCTAGCTCCTGACATGCGAGGCGACTCTCGCGTAGCAGATCCCCGGAGCGCTACTGGGGAGCATGGACGAGAGCGCCGTGAGGTGATGGCCGAGGTCCAACATGCGCGCCAGTATCCGGAGCGGCGCGATTGCGATTCCATGTCTTACACCAACGTCGTGCCGATCCCCTTTCCCACCGGCCCACAATATCGTCCTCCTGAGCCGCGCCCACTTCGTTTGGACCCACGGTACCCTTCAGTCGCGCTAGCCCCTCCTGGTACGGCACCGCCGGTCCCTTCAAACAAGACGGATCAAATTTTTGCCAAGGAGCACGCGAATGGGTTTGAGGGTTTGGATCCTAGTCTGCAGGATAACGCGCGTGGTTTTGTTGAGAACGTCAGAGTAAGCCGCGGCTCTGGAACCCTCTGCTGATCTTAGAACAACTTGCGTACCATGGTGGGGACGTACTTTCTTGAGCCCTCATCTGCGCGTGACGCCTTTCTGGAGCGGATTGGTCGTGATTTGATTGATTTGGGGTGGATGTTGACGGATGGGTCTGATGGCGCGCTGTACTCGCGGGGCGGTCCTCCTTGGCCTCATGAGAACGGCTCACAGCAGCGCGCGAGAGACCCTCCGCGCGAGTGGCGACCTGTGTCTCATGGTCGTCTGCCACAGCCACTGCAGGACCAGCGCCCTTCATCGGCAGACGGACCAAACTCGGCGCGCAGCGGGAGTTGATACGAGTACAGACTCGTAGAGTAGTAGTAGTATGTATTGGCACTGCAATGTTTGATAGACTGGAGTTGATGTCCATGCATAGGTTGTTGCTGGAGAGCGTTTCCGAATTATGGGGATAGCTTCTGCAGTCGCGGTGCACAAGTCGAGCAGTGAGGAGGGTGGCGGAAGGGGTGGGTGGTGCCCATTTTGAATTGTTTGGTTCTGACGGCCTGATGGAGCGTGATCTAATATTCAGGATCAGGTATTGCGCCTGACGGACCCCACGTGGATTTGAGATGGGCGGGACCAAATAATATGCAATTCAGCTCGAATTTTGAGAGTCTTGGGCAGCTTGGGCGCTTGGGCGGAAGCGTCGGGTGATGCGTCACCCCACCCAGGTCCCACCCACCCAGCGGATTCAATCTGCCTCTTCGAGCTCACGACCACATCGCTGCTCCTCACCATCCCCTCCTCTTCTTTCCCTCTCCCGCCACTAATCCATATCCGTCCGCCTTGCCTAAAAGTCCTTGTCGGCCGCCCCAACCCCCTTCTCAACTCCATCCCCTCCTCCAACAGACCCCTCCTACCCGCCCAAGCAATGGTAAACTTCTACTGCGACACCTAATTCTTCTTCCCGACTCTACCAACAATCATCGCCGTCCCGCCGTCGCTTCCAATTAGCAAAGTCTATTCGCATCCCATCACGCGGAGCGTCCATCACCTTCCATCGTCCTTCCCGTCTACTCATAACACACAGGCTCCCCCCCCCCCCGCCTTCTTCCAACACCTTCTCCCTGGCCCCACCATCGACAATGGCCCGCAACGAGCCCAACACCCTCTCCGGGGCCATGCGTTCTCCACGCCGCGCTCGCGGGGGTGGGCTGCCTTACAATCGCGAAGGTAACGGTAACGGCAGTGGCGCGCCGCCATCGGCCTTTGCTCACGGACTGCGCACATCCCAGTCCATGTCAAACCTCCGCCGCTCCGGCTCTGAGACTTTGCTCTCTGGCATCAAGAGTATCTTCTCCCGCCCGCTCGCTTGGCTGGCGACGCCTACCCGGTCGCAGCCACAGGGCCCCCAGGGGACGAAGCGCGACCACCTCTCGCCTGACCCCGAGGACCCGCCGAGCCCTTCCGCGCGCCGCGCAAAGAAGCGCGTTCGCCGTGCATCCCCCGACCAACCCACGTCACCTAAGCGCATCGGTCCATATGAGCCGCTCAATGCCGCGTCCACCCTTCCCCCTCTTCCCGCGGCCATCTCGCTCTCGCGTACACGCTCCTCCCTCGCCCCCTCCGCCAGCATGCCCTACCTGGACCCCCCCAAGTCGCTGCTTGGCCCATCCTCGTCACGCACCACTCTTCGCCCGCGCGGCTCACTCGTGCATTCGTCTAGGATGGATTTGAACACCGATGAGTTTGGCTCGGCGTCTGGTATGAACGCAACCCCCGACCGTCGTCGTACGCTCGGGGGCGCGCACGAGGCCTGGAGCCCATGGAAGGATTCGACGCCGCGCGCGCCTCTTGCCGCCTCGCCGTTTGCCCCAGCTTCGGGCTCGCGCACCCTTGCTCGTAGTCAAACGCTCACCAACATCCGCGACGATGCTTCCGACGTCAGCATGCGGAGTATGCGCGCTGGAAGCGGCTTCGGTACGTTCGGCAGTCGCTCGCGAATTCTACCGAAGAGCTCGTCAATGCGATTCGACACTGTGGCCGAGGACGACGATGCAATGAGCACAGCCTCCGACCGCAATGATGCGTTTGCCGAGCGGGCTGCTCGTCGCGCTAGCCTTGTGCCTATGCCGACGCGCCTCTCCGCGCTCCCGTCGCGCTCGAAACCCGCAGCAGAGCCCAAGATGGTCTATGTTCCAGGCCGTGGATTTGTAAAGGCTGCCGAGGCGTCGATATCCAAGCCCGCGCCGCGAAACGACGCTGACCGTATTCTCGAGGCTCTCGAGGCGTCTCGCCGGGCGACCTCGACCCTGCTTCCGCCCAACTTGGTGGGAGCGTCTACCCGCCAGTTGCGCAAGGCTATAGCTGTTCCGCTTGCGACGGCCGCTGCCGCAGCTGAGCGCAAGGGCCACCGGGCTGAGTGGCTCAGTCACGGCGGAGGTGTTTCGTCGGCCATCTCTCCGTATGGCCGTCGCCGCGCCGTGGACCTCCAGGCGCGCGAGCAGCGTCGCGAGTTGCGTGCTGTGCAGTCGGATGCTGAATTGTCGGACATGGAGGTGGACGGTTCTGCGCGCTCCATGCGATCGGCCTCGGCTGCCAGTTCGCGCCGCCGTAGCACGCGCTCCCGCTCCATGATGAGCATCTCGGGAAGCGAAGACGACTCGCAAATGAGCGTGTCGGACGCGCGCTCAGTCTCCCCACCCGGCAGGAGCATGCGTCGCTCGACGCGCAAGGGTAGGAATGGGGCGGCCGAGGAGGAGACGCCTAAGCTGCGAAGGAGCACGCGTCTTCGCACCATTGATGAGGCGGCATCGCCATCCAAGCCCTCGCCGTCGACCCGCAACAGGCGTGCCAAGAGTCCGTCCGCCGACGCCACGCCTCGTACTTTTCGCCGTAGGAAGGCGACGACGCCTATCGCGGAGACGTCGCCCGAGCCTGCTGCAACGCCCGCTGTCCCCACGATCAAGGAGACTGCGCCGTCGCCTATCGCCTCCTCGTCGTACCGTGTTCGTGACGAATCCGCGCCGCGCGAGCGATCTAGCCTCCGGGCTGGCCCGGCGCGTACCCGCCAGCATCAGGGCGCTGCCAGCTACGCCTCATCGCGCGCGACAACGCCAGGTGCAGGTGCTGGCAGTGGCCGATTCTCCGCTCGCGAGGAGGACTTGCCTGACATGGAGGAGCTGGAGAAATTATCGAAGCAGTCGACAGCGAACTTTTCGGGCTTCTCCATGCCGAGCTTCCCGACGTTCGAGAAGAAGGCTGAGGCACCAAAGGAGCCGTTGGAGAATGGGCAGCTGTCCAGCCGCATCTCCGTAGCGCCGCAGCAGCCCTCTGCGTCCCTTAGCCTCCCCAACTCGGGTCTCAAACCCTTGGGCGGCCGCATTGGCTCGACGCGCCCCAGGGCAAGCTCGCCCCTCGCCTCCAGTTCGTTCACTGCCGCTGCTGAGCCGGACTCACCCCACACCAAGGAGAAGGAGAAGGAGAAGGAAGCCGCGAGCGACGCCCAAGTGCCGCCCTCCGGCGGCTTTTTCTCCTTCACGGCTTCCGCGGCAGGATCAGCCGCTTCCACCCCAGGTCTCACTCCCCCGGCAGTCTCCAGCTCTGCCTCGGCCAACTCTACCTCCAACTTCTTTGCGCCACCCAAAAGCCCTGTCAAGGCCGCTGGTCTTGGCCTCGGCAAGCCGTCGACCCCCCCTGCGGGCGGTATACCAAATTTCTTCGGCGGCTCGACCACGCCCACGGCCCCTCCACCCAAGGCACCGGTATTCGACTTCAGCAGTAGCAACATCAAGCCAGCCGGCACAATTGCTGCTCCGGAGAAGCCTGCCAGCAAGGACACAAGCCCCGCCCCATTCTCGGTAAGTTTGCTGCGCAGAATCCCCGGGCATGTGCTGAATGTGCAGTTTGGCAAGCCCGCCGGCCCCGGCATGGAGGAGCAGCCCAAGGCCACGTTCTCTTTCGGCGCGCCGTCCGCATCGAAGGTCGACACCGCGCCCAAGGCCTTTGACTTCGGTGCCAACACGTCGAAGTCAGGCGAGACATCTGCTACTACCGCGTCCAAGCCCTTCGACTTTGGTGCTTCAGCGCCCGCCGCCCCTACTACTAACGCATCGCAGTCGTCCTTTAGCTTTGGAGCTTCGTCCGCTCCAACGGCCAAGCCGACTGAGACGCCCATGGCTTCGCCGTTTTCCTTCGGCGCCCCTACTGCTCCAGCCGCGGACAAGGCGCCCGAGGCACCGAAGTCAGCGCCGTTCAGCTTCGGCGCGCCGTCCGCTACGGCCGATGACAAGCCCTCTGAGCCCGCGAAGGCACCTTTCTCATTCGGCGCTCCTTCAGCTCCCCCTGCAAACAAGCCCGCTGAACCCAAGACCGGCTTTTCCTTTAGCTCGGGCAGCTCTGCTACCGCGCCGACGGAGGCGCCAAAGCCTTTCTCGTTTGGTGCTCCCTCGACCACTGCCCCAGCTGGGGCTTCCAACGGCGACAAGCCCGGCTTTTCTTTCGGCGCGCAGTCTTCTACTCCTGCTGCCGGCTCCGGGTTCGGTACCCCCGGCGCCTCGGGGAACACGGGCTTCAACTTTGGCGGAGAGAAGAAGGCCGACACGCCCACTCCGCAGGCCGCGCCAGGGTCTACCTCGACCTTCTCATTCGGCAACAGCTCGGCTCCTCCTGCCAGCGCAGGTTTTGGCGCTGCCAATACAAACGGTGACGCGAACAAGCCTTTCAGCTTTGGTAACACGTCGAGCACTCCTGCTCCGGCTGCGGGCTTCAACTTTGGCTCCAACTCGTCTGCTTCCACCATGGGCACTACCGCTCCTACTGGCTTCGGCGCGTCCGTGACCTCGCCAACAACCGGAACCGGAACGGGCGGGTTCGGGGTGTCGTCTCCCGCTACAGGCTTTGGTTCTGCGTCCACCTCGAGTGCTAATCAGACGAGTAAGCCGGCCTTCTCCTTCGGCAACAGCTCCGCTGCACCCGCCGCAAGCGGGTTTGGTAGCACCAACTCGGGCTTTGGCTCCACCCCAGCAGCATCGTCTGGCTTTGGCGCCCCCGCCCCGGCATCGGGCGGTTTCAACTTCGGCTCGACTGGTAACAACTCAAGACCGGGCTCCTCTTCTGCCGCACCGACATTCAACTTTGGCGCGACCTCGGGCACGTCTACGCCCACAGGCGCGGCTCCCACTTCTGGGTTCCAGTTCGGCGCGCCAGCGGCCTCGTCATCGACCAACGCACCTTTCCAGTTTGGCACACCTTCCGCTACCCCGGCCGCCCCCGCTTTTGGTAGCAACCCTGCGCCCGGATCTACATTCGCTTTCGGCGCACCTGCATCCGCCGCCAGCGCACGCTTTGGCTCCCCCGCACCCGGAGCTGGGGCGCCTGCCGAGGGATTTAGCATGGGCATCGGGACTGAGACCCCTGGATCGCCTGGCGGCAGGAAGATCAAACCTCTCCGTCGCGGCGCAGTTAAGCGCTAATACAAGTCGACGTTAGAAGTATATTGGCATTGTAGTCTGTCCATTGCATGCATCAACTCTCGAGTGCGAGCATTCTTGGTGGTACAGGATTGTGCTGTTAGGGCCTGGGAATAGGTCCGGCATGGTCATCCATACAGTGGCACCTGCCAGAGACGATGTCTTCCTCTAAGGAACCTCCCACTCGTCAACGACTGGCAGCATCGACCATGCAGGCCGCGTCCTATCTACGGGTTATTTAAGAACTGTAGCTTTGGCTGATCTGCTGATAAAGCAGAATTTCTCTGTGCCATTCACTGAGACGCATCTGTCACAGAGGCGAGGGAACTGGCGTATTGGCGGGATGCACACCTGGTTGAGTTCCGTGTGTGTCACGCCTAAGCAAAAATAGAGCCTGTGAGTTTCTCTTAACAAAACGGCGATGAAGGAAAGTAGTGGGTATTCTGGACAGGATTTGTCGCACGGCCCGGCTGTGCCGCTCGGCGAAGTACGGCTCTGAGCATTTGGCTTGACGTCAGTCTTGCGATGTGTTCTAGCCTTCACACGGCTGCTATAGCACTTGGGAGGTATCATATAGCCTTTTCTGGATGCTTTTGAACAGTGTGTGCATGTGTGCGTGTTGCGAGGATGGGGGGGCCCGGGGGGGGGGGGGGGGGGGGGGGGGTCGGGGGGGGGGGGGGGGGGGGGGGGGCTCACGGGGGGGGGGGGGGGGTTGGGGGGGGGGGGGGGGGGGGGGGGGGGGGGGGGGGGGGGGGGGAGGAAGGGGTTTACAGTGGCTACCGCCGATAAGCAAGCACGCCCTTAGCGTTCGCGTCGCAGCGGCCTGTGAGGCGGGGGACCCTCCTGAACAGAACTTGGTGCAGATTCATACATAATTGACACTCCTCATTCGAGTTCCTCTTCGACAGGTTGGGCTGGCTGTATGCTGGCAGTAGCTGGCAGTAGCTGGGCTGTACTGGAGGCGTGCGCCAGACAGCGAAGGAGAACGGACGGCACACACTCGTAAATGCGGTAAATGCATCTGTCCGCTGCTGGTACATCTGCGCAGGTCCCAGTCTTCGGGGCAGGTACATGCATGTACTTTGGGCCCGCTCTACGTCAGTAAGCAATCAGACTTGATAGTGCACCAGAGGGTGGATCAGTCAACGTGGCATTGAAATTCAGGTTTGAAAGAGCGGCCCATTGAGTCACAGTTTCATCGCGATTCCATGTGTATGAGTACGCCGGCGCACTTAGCCATTACTGGACCTTTAGTTCGGCCGCCACACTCCAGAGAGACAGTGGGCACGAGAATTTCGACGTACGTACATATACTGTCGGTTCGCCTCTGCACTGCAGTGAAGTAGTGATTGGAGTAGTACAGCGTACATACCATTTGCTATACTAGCGCTATGAAATCGGGTCTCGAAAGCTGCACAAAATCATTGCAGCACGCACAACACCCTCTGTTGGGTTGGTCTTTGGCTGGTGATGGGCATCGTGAGCACACACTTTACGCATGAAGCTTAGAGGGTGCGTCAGTCGCACAGCCGGACGCTGGGTAGGGGTGTATGGGGCCGGTCTCTGGCCGGGGGCATCGGGCTTGAGAGCAGGAGATTTCAGCGTAGGCTCCACCCGAGGTATGGGACTCTCAGTGGCTTCGTTGGCATGATTCTGTTCAAGCAGCCGTTGTGGAATATCGCAAGCGATGCCCTTACGCAAACAGGGGAGGCACTTGTTGCTGTTCGCCAATGCAGGATCTGTAACCTCGCTCGCCGGCGCGCACCGAATCTATACATCAGCAAATGTCCTCTGTCTCCGCACATCACAGATGGTATGACGCACTTTGCTTTGGCGGCAATTGGTGCACGCTGTAACTTGCCGAGCACGCCGGTGTTCAGACTGGAGCGGCTGTATCTTCGAGGTCTCTGGGCTCTTGCTCTTCGAGACCATGATTCTAAAGGGATCCGAAGATTGGGAGCTGGACGAGCATGTTGTCAAGGGTTGGGAGATGGGTTATCGTCGGCATGGACCGCCCAGATGTTTATAGTGCTCACACGAGAGTCGTCTGACTCGATCTCACAGTCTTCCGGCCGGGGAAGCGCAGTACCCATCAGAGTGGCAACATGGCTCAAATGTACTCTAACCCCGAGGGAAGGAACTGTTCGACCGCCTTGTTCCATTGAGTCCCACTGAAGTTTCCCCACTTACTGGCGTAGCTTTACCCATTGCTTCAATGGCTTATATGCAGCGATGGGGAACTGTTGGTGAAAATGATGCTGCAGTACGTATGGTATTGGCTGTTGCCTCGTCCGTTGTTTCAAATCTGGTGTGACTGAGACAGAAGTGACATCGAAATTTGGATGGCTGGCTCATCAATGGCGCTACTGTAGATTATGACTGGAGGTCAACGCGCCGCGCAAACGAGATTAAGTGCTAACTCTGATACCCCGCCTAAGGACCCGGAATCCTGGCTGTGCTGTGAACGCTGAACTGCAATTTGAGGGCGAGACAGCGACTTGCTCTTCGTTAGGAGAAGTCCCCAATTACCTTGGGCCTGCAGTTCAGTGTTGGCGACTCGTTCGCTCCTCCGCGCGCCATCATCTGACACACCCCAGCAAACTTTCAATCGACAAGCCTGCGCTCTCACAGGCATCACAAGATATGCATCTATGTCAGAAGGAGGGCCGCGTCTAACAAAGCCCACACAACACACTCAATGGCTGGTGCCTGCGCCCTCAGCGCCTCAGGCAAAGGGGTAACACTGGGCAAGAAAAGGACGACAGCACGCACACCCGCGTCTAAAGCGTAAAGAGCAAGCCACCAAGAGCGGGAAGGCAGCGCTGCGCCGAGCATGACGGTTGACGCGGCAACCTCCAGGCCGAGCAGTGCCTTCAGCGCAATCTCAGTTGGCAGGCCTGTTAGCACGGCAAGTAAGGCGGCCACGCGCAGCATGACCAGCACAATACGTGAATCCCGCAGAGGTCGCAGCACGTCTGGCGGTGTAGATGGTTGCGGGATTGCGAATACGCCACCTGAGCCTTGCTTGCGCTGCTCGCCCCACCTGCCCCGCTCATATCGCCCCCAAGCGGCTTGTGGCCGCTCGCGAACCGGCTCGCCACCCAGACCCCAAGTTGCCAGTAGCGCCTCGAGGCCTGTCTCGTTCGACTCGGCCGCTGCGAACATTCGTTGCGTGCCGACACCAAAGCCGTCCCAGTCGCTGTGCGTTGGCTCCCAATCCATCGGCTCATCCGATCGCTCAGGTAAAGCAAGAGAGGGTTGTCCGAACACTGCAGAAGGACGAGAGCGCTGGGGTGAGGCTTGTGAATGAGAAAGAGAAGGAGCTGGGTGGTGCAATGCAGTGGAAGGATGCTGAGAAGAGGGAAGGGTTTGAGAATGTGCCTCGATGCGGACCGGCCGCACAAGCGTCAGCTGTATGCGTGAAGTATCGCGCCGACGCGTAAGGGCTGCTATCACAATCTGGTATCAACTAATAGCATGGCACAGAAACTTACGGTGATGTCCAGAGCAGCGGCAGCCGTGATCCAGCTGGCAGGCAAGCCCCAAATGATGCCGGAGGCGATAGCGAGGCGGAGGACGTAGAGGCCGAGCATTGTACCGACCCACACTCGCCTGCCGTGAGCGGGACGTCGCTCACGTGCAGCGTGAAGCCATGTTGGGTCCCACACGGCCCAGAGGATCGCACAAAGGCGCACCGCGAGCACAGCGGTCGTGTGGGATTGAAATGCCCGAAAGAGGACGTTAGGAGCGGCCCAACCTGCTGTCAGCCTCGCCCTCAGGAAGACTCACCGGACAACGCAATGCCTATGACGGCAAACATATCGAGTGCCCACGCAAGGCTTCGTACCCGCCAAACGCCCACATCTATCCAACTCGGCCCGGAGCGCCGCGTCGTGTCGACGCTGCGCCTCAGAGCGCTCCCGAACGCTTCCGCTTGGGCGCGCTGGTCGGCGCGTTTCAGCCATGCATCCACTCCCGGTTGGCATGCGGCGCAGACCTGGGGGTAGCGTTCGTTCAGTGATGTACGGTAAGCTTCGAAGCCGGCCACTCTCTCAGCATACGTCGGATCCTGGGGTCAACATAACAAGGGGAACAATGGGGACGCACACTCTCGGCGGGGAGGTACGTCGCGAGAAGGTTGAGGACGAGGGTCTGGTTCGCCTGGCATGTGTGACAGAAAGGCGAAGCTGCAGAGGACGCAGTGGGCAGGCGCGCGGAGGAGGGATGGGCTGCGTGTCAGCTGGTCCGAATATCTGTATCGCTGGGTGACGCGAGGTTGTGGGAATGACTGCACAACTTATCGTTTACTCGCAGCATTTATGCTACCTCATCGCTCAATCTAACTCACCGCGTCGTGCAAAGCTCGCCTCGTTCATCGCGCTGTCGCGCATGGCGGGGTGGTCGCCATCGATCTGTCCGGCGCGGTCTCTCCCGTTCCAGCATCCGCATGCAGAACATGACCATGCTAGCCGCGTCCGAGAAGGGGGACCTACTGCGGAGCCGCAGAAGTAGCACTGTTCCGGGGCTGCAGTGAACAGCCCCATGTCGAGTGGCTATGTTGTGTTACTAGCAGGCAGCGTCGCGCCCGGATGTTGTCAAGTCGGAGATCGGCAAATGTTGGGTGGCGAGTGATGATGCGTCACGAAAAGGGAAGTTGGACAGTTTCCGTCGCTGCTTGCTTTCGGAATCACCCACTCATCTTGATCCGCTTTTGCTCAATCCACGCGTCCTCGGTCCCCTGCTCCTCGCTTTCACCAAAGTTTCTGCAGAGCTCGCTGCCATGCCTGCGTTCACTTCCAAATCGCGGAACCCGAACAAGCTTGTGTCCGCCGTGCGCCGCCGACCATTCGTGTTTTTCGGGCTCCCCTTCCTCTCCCTAGTAGTCGCCAGCTCGTACGCCTTGCAGACGTTTACGAGCACGCGTTACGAGCTCAACGACCAGAAGGTATCGGCAGTTAGCAAGGAGGATGAATTGGGCATGAGCAAGGACCGGAAGAAGGTGGACATCCGGGAGGAGTACTATGTGAGTGACAACATGATCGGCTTGAACTCTTGTCGTCTCATTGCTGCATAATAACATCGCATCTTGTGTGAGGAACTGTATAGCTAAGACCAGCGTCTCCAAGGCCTTGGGGGAGACGATGCTGCCCTTGCTGGGGCCATCACGCCGTCTCAGGCCGCGGCACCTGACGTGACAACGCGGACGGAAGCGGCTCTAGCAGAAAGAAAGAAGAGGAAGAAGAACTTCTTCGACACGACGAGCCAAGACGATTATGAGCCCGTTCGTGTCCCCCGTCCAGTGGGCATGCCTGAGTGGGGCGCGGCGCCGTCAAGTGGGGACGCGCCTGTCAAGGGGGCGCGCGCGGAGGATCGTTGGGTCTAAAGGCAGTGTTGGCACTCCTGGGCGATACGCTCGTGAAAGTAGGGGGTGCACGGTATCCGTAGCGCATGTGGAGAGCATCTCTAGACGTTGACAGCATTGCATTGCATACATAAAGTACCACTCTGCGTGTTGCTCTCTTGCCAGCCGATGTCGAGCAACCGGCTAAACTGCCTAGATTGCAAGTGGAGGGCTCCGCAAGTACTGACGTGACTACCTTGCTGTTGCCCTCCCCCCATTCCCGCACTCTCGCTCTCTCGTCCACGCGTTGCTTTGCCTTCTCCTTTTCTCGCGATCTCGCGAGCTTGTGCTCTCTACCCTTGGACCTCGACCGCTATCTCTGAACACGGTGGAGTCTGTTTCTTAGGACGACACATCCCTCGCGACAATGACCCCCGCCCCACCACGCTTCCTTGTTGAGCATGTTGGCAACCTAGCTCGCGGTTTCTCGCGCCCCCATGTCACCCTTACCTGGGCCCAAAGTTTGGACGCCAAGATCGCTGGGCCCGGTGGAAAGCGCGTGATGATCAGTGGTCCAGAGAGCATGCTCATGACGCATTGGTCAGTGCCGCAACACAACGGACCTCGCGATGCAGTCGGTTTACGTTTGCTGACAACAGGTTGCGCACGATGCACGACGGGATCCTTGTTGGCGTGCAAACGATCATTATGGACGACCCGCGGTTGAAGAGTCAGTCCGCATTGCGAACCTTCCTCTTTGTCCAAGTGATTACTCTGACTGCAGTCCAACTCGTTCCACAGGATGACCTCGACCTCCACTCGCCTGTGCCCATCATCCTGGACCCCAAGCTACGCACACCACCCACAGCCCGCATTCTGTCTGAGTGGAGGGAACACGGCTCCAACCCCGAACTTACCGGTCCAAAGCAAGTGCGCCAGCCGTGGATCTTGTGCGAGGCCAGCCCAGATCCCGAGCGCGTCAAGGCACTGGAAGGCGCAGGCGCGCGAATTCGGCATGTCGATCTGGACAAGAACGGTGTGTAGAGTGACGGTGCAGCACGCGCACAGTGTGCTCGCCTGGAGCTGATGACAGGCCATATTCCCCCCACCGAACTCCCCAACATTCTGGAGAACATCGGACTCGGGAGCGTTATGATCGAGGGTGGCTCACGCGTTCTGAGCAGTTTCCTACACGCTGGGCCACGCGCTGACGGGTCCGCTTTGGTTGACAGCATCGTCGTGACCGTTGGTCCGATGTTCATTGGCGAGGGTATTGGCATTGTGCCGCCCGGTGATGACATTGGTCTCCCGGAGCTGACCTACGTCCACACAGAGACGATGGGGAAGGACTCAGTCATGGTAGCAACGTTGGCACAGATTGCTGCAGGCGAGGAGTTATAGCAGGTTACGGGTCTCCAAAAGCGATGCATACTAATACATGTGAAATACATTACACTTATCCGGAGACAGACCGTCCCGAGCCTGGTCCACCAGGCCCAAATGTCCGTCTCTCGCCCGGAGTCGCCCCAGGCGTAGTTGCAGTAAGAGCGCTTCGCATCGATGCCTTACGCTCACTTGGCGTGCTCGCAGCCTGCGCGCGTTTCTGCATGAAAGCGCGCTCCGTAGATGTGAGCGGCTTGCGGACTGGGCGGTTTGTGCGCGCCGCCAACGGGGGTCTGCCGGCGCTCGGCGGGCTGTTGCGCTTGGGCAGCGGCCCGTCCTCGACCCACACCTCGCGAGTAACGGACTCGTCATCAGCCTCACGACAGCGCTTGCCGCGCGGTGTCGAGGTCGGCGCGTAGATGGAAGCCGAGGTTGACGTCGCAGCAGACGCAAGGGCAGAAATGATCTTAGCGCCGTCAGAAGGGACGGACGAGGAGATCGCAATGGGCGGAATCTCGCGAGTGCGTCGGGGCGACATATTCTCCATCGTGTTCTGAAGAGTCTCGATTTCGCTCTCGAGCGCCCGCACTTTGCGGGAGAGCTTGTCTGCCCGCGCGCTTGCCTTCTTGACCTGCTTCTTGAGCTCCATTTCGCGGTCGTCGGCCTCCTCAAGATCAAGATTCTTAGCGTCAAGTGCAGCCGTCTTGTCTGGCGTCAGCTTGGGTCCGGGTCAGCCACTACTCACACTTCAGGTCCTCCTCAATGTCGGCGAGCGCTTCCCTGAGTGCTTTGTTGGCTTGCTCAAGATTAGCGAATTGGCAGGCTTGGCTCTCAGCCATAGCTGCAGCGGCCTGAGCTTCCGAAAGCTCGTCGCGAAGTGCCGCGAGGCGGGCCGACATGTCGACCTGTCCCCGCTCCATGAAGTTAAGGTGCGAGGCGGCCTTGCGGGCGTCTGTCTCAGCGGCTGTGGCTCTGTTCTGCATCGTCTTGAGCGACTCGAGGGTGTCGTCCAGCTCCGAGCGCGTGATGTCAAGCTGAGCAACGAGCGCTGCCTCACGCGAGCGCAGCACGTCCAGCTCACTCTGTGCGGCCTCGAGGTCCGCGGTCGCTGCTTCGAGATCGTTACTGAGAGAGGAGTAGTCTGCGCGAGCCATACTCAACTCTGAAACGAGGCCTTCGATGCGCTCGGCAGCGGACCTGGCGAGCTCATCGCCGGCCTCCACTTCGCCCTGTAAGCGAGCAACATCGGCGGCAAGAGAGGCTGCGCCTGTCGAAGTCTCCTTGGCACGAGCGACTGCAGCATCATGCTCTGCACGCATTTTTTCAAGTTCCGCACGAAGGGAGTCAACCGTCTCAGACAGAACAGTGACTCTCTCCTCAGCAGTCTTCAGCCGGTTGTTGGCGCTGGCTGTTTCGAGTGCGGCACGCTCGCGTGCATTGACAATCTGGCTCTTGAGGTCTTCGAGGATTTGCTCGCGCTGCGTCTCGGCCTCGGCAGCCTCGGCGGCAGCTGTAGCAAGCTTCTCCTCAAACTCGACGGCAGCAGTTCCAAGCTTGATGCGAAGGTCGCTGGCTGTGAGATTGGAGGTGGTCAGAGCCTCCCTAATCTCGCCTAGCTCCGTCTCAAGCATCATGACGCGGCCTGTGGCTCCATCATGCACTGTCCGTGCGGCATCGAGGTCGTCCTGCATCTCGTTGACACGTCCCTGCAGCGCTTTGGCCCGTGCCAGTAGTTCAATGCGCGTTTCTTCAGCCACCGAAAGGTCTGCTTCCAGGGCTGATGCGCGAGATGTGGCGTCGGAGTAGGCGGAATTGGCCGTCACAAGTGCGGCTTCGAGCTCAGTAACTCGTGCCTCGAGAGAGGCAAGCATCTTCGTAGCGGCGTCGAGTTCTGCAGACGTTCCCTGCAGATGACCGAGCTCCTCCTCCGTCACGCGCAGCTGTGAGCGGGCAGACTCGAGCTCTGAACGCAAAACGGCGTTCTCCTCTTGCTGGTGAGCGGCATGCTTGACCTCAAGAGTCGCGACCCGCTCAACAGATGCACTCAGTTGCGCCGCGAGGCTGGTGGAGTTCGCGGTGGTGGCAGCCAGAGCCTGGCGATGCACAGCGACGGCAACCACGAGGCTGACAATTTGCTGGGACTGGTGCTGGTATTGTTCTGCCATCCCCTCCCACTTCTGCTGAAGATTTGCGGTGTGCGTACCATCCTGCGCATGTTCGGCCTCGAGGGCCTTATGTTCTGCGACGGTGCGTTCATGGACAGCACGGAGGTCGTCGAGGTCGACGTAGGTACTTTCGAGCGTGACTTGAAGACGGGCCGCTTGGTCACGCGCATCTGTGAGACTGCGAATAACGGCCGCATGTTCGGCCTTCAGGGCGTCGTGTTCGCCGCTGATCTGGTCGAAAGCGTCCTGCGACACAGCTGCTGCGAGCTTGGCCTCCAGCACGGTGTTGACCTCGGACAGCTCGGCAAAGTCGTCCTGCAAGCTCTTGAGTTTGAAGTCCAGCTTCTGCTTGTCCGCCTCAAGCACCTTGATAAACCTGTCGCGCCGCGCAACACGCTCCTGCGCTTCGGTGAGAAGTCGCCCCTCATCGTCTGCAGCCATGATCTGCACAGTCGCGCCATTCTGGGCGCTCTTTCTTGACTCATGCTCCGCGCCGAGATTCGCCGTAACAACGTCGAGCTTGCTGCGGAGCTCGCACATCTCGGTCTCCAGCTCAACAAGTTGTGCCCGGGCTGCATCGCGCTCACTCTCGACAGCGCCAAGCGATTCGGCCGCCAGCTGAGCGGTGGAGGACGCCTCGGCTTCGAGGGACGAAATCTTGCTTTCGAGGGAGGCAACCATGCTTTGAAGATCCCTGTTGGCGCCGTCAAGAGTGGCTACAGCGGCAACCTCCTCAGCGAGCAGAGCGCGGGCAGACTCAGCCTCCGTAAGTTGTCGCTCCAGGTCGCGGATAGTCGTCTCGAGGCCCACCACCTTGGCCAGCTGCTCCTCAAGCTCCGCCTTGAGGGTCTCGCTGGTGATATGGCTGGACTCAAGATCAGTCACCATCCCTTCGAGCTGGGACACGCGCGTGTCCTTCTCCTGGACTTGACCGAGTGCCTCCTGAAGCTTTTCATTGAGCCCGGCCGTTGCGCGGTCAGCGAACTTGCGCTCAGCTTCAACGAATGCCACCTGGCCTTTGTATTCGTCGCGCTCATCACGCAACCGGCGGATCGTGAGCGTCATCTTCTCGACTTGCGCCTTGTCGGGCATGTCTCTAGAGTCCAGAAGCAAGACCTTGTCCTGAAGCTCGGCCGACAAGCGGTCGCGCTCTTGGCGGAGGCGGCGGATCTCGTTCTGGCTGTCGGAGCTGGATCCGGCCAGAATCTCGGCCTCGAGCCGCTTGACTGCCAACTGTGCCGCATCGCGGTCCGAAGTTGCGCGAGCGAGGTCGTCGGTGGTCATGCTGCGGTCAGCAGCCGCTTTCGAGTTACTCACGAAAGCTTTCGCTCCAAGTCCCCGATCTCATCGCGCAAGGCGGCCTCCATCTCCATGATCTCGCCCTGGTACGTCTCAGCCGTCTCACGCCAGCGCTCGCGCTCGTTGCGAGCGGATTTAAGCTCAGCTTTCAGGCTGCTGGACACCGCGATTTGAGATTCCAGTTCGACAACGCGAGCGTCTCTGCTTGTGACGTCGGCAAGGGCAGCATCGAGCTTGGCCACAAGGGCTTCTCGTGCACTTTCAGCGGCAGAGGCGGTATCCTCAGCAGTAGCCAGTGCTTGCTCGGCTTCAGCAAGCTTCACTGCCGCGGTCGCTGCGGCTTCCTCAGACTGCGCAGCACGGCCACGAGCCTCAGCCGCAGCCTGCTCAGCCTCAACAGTGATTGCTGCTTGCCTCTGCAGTTCCTGTCGTCAGCGAACTCCTCTCAGAGATAAGAAGCTCACTTCAACTTGCTCGCGCAGCGCTGTGTGTGCCTCGACCTCGGCTACGACCTTGGCGCGTGCCTCCGTTAGTTCGCCTGTCGCGTCGTTCACTTGGCGCTTGAGAGCCTCGGCTTCTGAGTGGGCCATGTCGCGCTCCCGCTCCATCTGTGCTTCCCTCTCGGCGTGTGCGCCGTAGGATCGTGACATTTGGGCCTCCATTTCGGATGTCTTCTGCTGCAGGTCGACCAGCTGCCGTTCCGCGCGTGCGTTGATGTCACGGAGAGCTGTAAGCTCTCTCGCTCTCTCTTCCAGCTTCTTGAGGGCATCGTCCACCTCACCCTCCTTCTCCTTTAGCCGCGCTTCGAGCTCCTCAGCGCGTGCAATGGCCGCATCCCGCTCAGAGCGGGCTTTATCGCTCGCTTGCGGCGGCTGCGAGCCGCCCTTCTGGTCCAAGTAGAATTGCAGCTCATCCACTCTATCCTGCAAGGACTCGGTGTCACGCGCGGCACGCTTCTCGGCAGCCATGCGTGCATTAAGCGCCTGGTCGCGCTCGCGCTCGGTGGCTGTGAGTCGGGCTTTGAGGCCGGAAATTTCACGTTGTGCGTTGGCCACTGCCTGCGTGGCGTCGTCCCGCTGATTCTGAAGAGCGAGGTCGAGGTCTCCAGCGGAGGAGCGCCGCCGCCTTGTCTTTGGGGTGAATGTGCGCGCCAGACGAGTGATCTCGGCCTCCTTCCGCTGCAGCTCCTGCTCAAGGGCCTTGATGCGCGACGAAAGTTTGTTCTCAGCTGTAGAGGGGCCAGAGCCACTGTGTGAGAGGCTTGCTAGGTCTGCTGTCAGTCTGCTCAGATCCAGACCCACCATACTCAAGCCTACGGCTCTCGCGCTCAAAGTCTGCCGCGCGTGCGCTCTCAGCCCGCAGCTGCGTCTCAAGATTGCTAACGCTCAGCTTGGTTTGTGCGAGATCCTGGAGTCAGCTTTGCATCCTTCCCACAACTCACATCTCTTAATGCCCTCAGTGCAGATTCAGCATTGTCTGCGCGCTTCTCTTCTCCGTCTGCCCTTGACCGCAAAGATTCAACTGCCGCCTTGGCCTCCGTCAAGGCCTCATCGTGCGAGGTCTTCTCCTTCTGAAGTTTGGAATAACGCGCATCTGTGATCAGCGCGACGTGGAGGTTAGATAGCAGAGACGCACCTCGGTCAGCGATTTGCGCCTTCAGAGTCTTGATGAGCTTGTCTTTACCGTCCTCGCCGAACATGGCTGACGGAGGTAGGAATCTCAAGTGGTTAGATGGGATGGGTAATGTTAGACGACCAAAGTCAGTCACGACCTGTTGTTTGTGTTCAGGGACGGAAGCAATTCGACCTTCTGAATGTCTCTTACGTCAGTCGAAACGTCTAAGGTTGAGCCTCCTGGCGTTCTGCTTATCAGAGCTTCCAAACCCCCAGAGCCATAACCCGCATGCAAGGACCACTCAGATTAGTGCCACACGGAGCAGAGCACTGTCCAATACGTCAAGTGGGCGGATCGGCAGCGTCAGACTCAATAAAAGTCGGAATCGAAAACGAGATGCATACCGGAAAAACAAGATCCTTTCCTACTAACTGTCTGTCCACGCCGTAGGCACAGTGGCGGTCGGCGCGAGGCCTATTATGCCTTGGTGGCGAACGAGTAGGCATTCTGGAAGATGCGGAACCAAGGACCCTTGCCCTTCCACTCGCCGCGCTTGTCGGCAGGGAACCACGAGTTCGATTCTGCGGCGACAACACGCTCTGGGTGGGGCATAATGGCGAGGACGCGACCATCTGGTGTCTGCACCGCGGCAATGCCCTCGGGGGACCCGTTGGGGTTGAGCGGGTACCGCTGTGTGACAGCGCCGTTTCCATCAACGTAGCGCACAGGAACCAGGTTGGCAGCGTTGAGCGCCTTGAGGTCACCGTGCTCGGCAAAGTCGGCGCGGCCCTCGCCGTGTGCAACAGCAACGGGAAGCGATGAGCCTTCCATGCCTGAAAGGAGGACTGAAGTGGTACCAGCCGAAATCTTGACAGTGGAAACGCGGCCCTCGAAGCGCTCTGAGCGGTTCGCCTTGAAGAGAGGCCATGCCTCGGTGCCAGGGATGATGTCGTGCAGCTGGCTGAAGAACTGGCAGCCGTTGCAAACACCAAGGGCAAAGGAGTCCTTGCGCGCGAAGAAGGCCGAGAACTCGGAGCGTGCTACGGGGTTCAACAGCACCGAGTTGGCCCAACCAGAGCCTGCTCCAAGAACATCACCGTATGAGAAACCACCGCAAGCGGCAAGACCAGCAAAGCTGGACAGCTGGAGCTTGCCGCTGATGATGTCCGACATGTGGACGTCGATAGCCTCGAAGCCGGCCGCGTGGAATGACCATGCCATCTCGATGTGACCGTTGACACCCTGCTCACGGAGAATGGCTACCTTAGGAGGCGCAGTGATGGCACGGTCAACATCGGGCAGGAAGGGGAAAGTGATGTCGAAGAGGATGCCACTGTCCGCATCATCAAGGATTGCGTCAAACTCCTGCTTGGCGCCAGTGGGTTCGTCGCGCGCGGCCTGCATGCGGTACGATGTTTCAGCCCACGCCTGTTGAAGCTTTGCACGTGTGGAGTTGAACACCTCCTGCCCGTTGGCCAATATCGAGATCCGCTGGTTCTCGCGGCCCAAAACGGTACCGCAGGCGTGAAGGTGCTGGGTGGGGAAGCCAGCCTGCACAAAGGCGTGCTGGAACGCCTGGAGATCCTTGGTCCGGACTTGGAACACGGCACCGAGCTCCTCATTGAAGAGGGCGGCGGCCACGTCGCCAGACTTGGAGACAGCATCGACATTGAGCTCGACACCGCTGCGACCAGCGAATGCCATCTCGACGACAGTGGTGAACAGTCCACCATCTGAGCGGTCATGGTAGGCGAGGACGATGTCTTTGCCGTGCAGAGCCTGTACAGCGGTGAAGAAAGCCTTCAGCTCAGCAGCGTTCTCAACATCAGGGGCCTCAGCGCCGAGCTGCTTGAAGACCTGCGCGAGTGCGGAGCCGCCCAGACGTTGCTTCCCACGGGCCAAGTCGGCAAAGACAAGGGTGGTCTCGCCGACGTCAGTACGAAGCTGGGGCGTCCAAGTGCGCTCAACGTTGTCAACGGGGGAGAATGCGGTAACGATGAGCGAGAGGGGGGCAGTCACCTCCTTCTTCTGCCCGTCGGCCTGCCAGCGCATGCTCATCGACATCGAGTCCTTGCCGACAGGGATACCGACGCCCAGGGCGGGGCACAGGTCGAGGCCAATTGCCTCAACAGCCTCGTAGAGGCGCGAGCCCTCGCCCTCAGCGGAAGCAGCCGACATCCAGTTGGCCGAGAGTTTGACCTTGGCAAGATCGGGGATGGAGGCGGCGATGAGGTTGGTGAGCGACTCGGCAACGGCCATGCGAGCGGAGGCCCCAGCCGAGATGAGTGCAAGTGGAGTGCGCTCGCCCATGGCCATTGCCTCACCCACGACAACGTCAAAGCCGAACGACGACCGGGTGACGGCAACGTCAGCGACCGGGACCTGCCAGGGGCCGACCATCTGGTCGCGTGTGACGAGACCGGAGATGGACCGGTCACCGATGGTAATGAGGAATGACTTGGAGCCGACCGAGGGAAGGTGGAGGACACGGTCCACGGCAGTCTCCAAGGTCGCATCGCTACCGTAGGCTTGAAGGGACGAGTCAAAGGCGTCGCGCTTGGGCTTGACCGTCTCCGCCTTGCGGTGCATGCGAGGCGGCTTGCCAAAGAGAACAGACATGGCAATGTCAATCACGTTGTCACCAAGGAGGCGGTCGGTGACGACCAGGCGCTCCTCCTCGGTGGCGGTGCCAACAACCGCGAAAGGTGCGCGTTCACGGCGAGCGATCGCCTCGAAGGCGGGGAGATCCTCGGGGCTGACAGCGAGAACATAGCGCTCCTGCGACTCATTGCACCAGATCTCCATTGGCGACATGTTCGGGTCATCAACCAGAACGTCGCGGATCTCGAAAACGGCACCCAGACCAGCGTCGTGGACAAGCTCGGGGAGCGCGTTGGAGAGGCCACCGGCGCCGACGTCATGGATAGACTGGATGGGGTTGCCGGGACCCTTCGAGCCGCGGTTAACGCACGCGTCAATGACCTGCTGGGCGCGGCGCTCCATCTCTGGGTTGTCACGCTGAACCGACGCGAAGTCCAGGTCAGCCGACGACTGGCCAGAAGCCATGGAGGAGGCAGCGCCGCCACCAAGACCGATGAGCATGCCGGGGCCGCCAAGCACGATAATCTTGGCTCCCGGGGTGATCTTGTCCTTGCGGGCGTACTTCTCACGGACGTTACCGAGACCACCAGCGATCATGATGGGCTTGTGGTAGCCACGCCACTCTGGGGCTCCCTGAGGGCTTGGGACTTCCATGAGGAACGTGCGGAAGTAACCGCCAAGTGCGGGACGGCCGAACTCATTGTTGAAAGCCGCAGCGCCCAGTGGCGCTTCAATCATGATGTCGTAGGCCGAGGCGATATGAGCTGGGCGGCCGATGTCCGACTCCCAGGCCTGCTTGAAGTCAGGGATAAGAAGGTCCGAGGTGGTGAAGCCAGCAAGACCGGCCTTAGGACGAGAGCCACGACCGGTGGCACCCTCATCACGGATTTCGCCGCCCGAACCAGTCGATGCACCTGGGTAGGGGGAGACAGCGGTGGGGTGGTTGTGCGTCTCAACCTTGATGAGAATAGGCATGGTCTCCTCGTTGGCAGCGTACGCGTTGTCCTCGGCACCGTTAACTGCGAAGCGGGGGGCGGTAAAGCCCTGAAGAACGGCAGCGTTATCCTCATACGCCGAAAGGGTACCGTTGGAGTTGCACGCCTTCTCAGTGTTGCGGATCATGCCAAAGAGAGAGTTCTCCTTGTCAGTGCCATCGATGGTCCACTTGGCGTTGAAGATCTTGTGGCGGCAGTGCTCCGAGTTAACCTGAGCGAACATGAAGAGTTCGGCGTCCGTAGGGTTGCGGCCAGCGGCGACGAACGACTCGACAAGGTATGGAATTTCCTCCGGGCTCAGAGCGAGTCCCAGCCGGACGTTGGCCTCCTCAAGAACAGCTTGAGGGTTCTCAGCGCCAACGATCTCGACCGTGACAAGAGGGTCAGGCTTGTGCGAGGGCGGGAAAATGGTGGCCGACTCAGGGAGGGCAGTGGCAACAAGCTGAGTCATGCGGTCATGGATGAGGTGAAGAGCTGAGCCCAGCTGCTCAAGCGAAACGCCAGCGCCCGACACGAGATAGAGAGCACCACGCTCAATGCGCTTGATGTGCTTGTCAAGGCGACAGAGTTTGGCAATGTCCGTCGCCTTGGAGCTCCACGGAGAAATGGTGCCGGCCCGCGGCAGAACATACACGGCGAGCATGTCCTGGGGCTTGGTGGCGGCGGTGAGCCAGGCCTTGGTGGAGGCGAGGCGCTCGTCATCACCATACGCGAGGAGCGTATCGAGAATGCGGCGCTGCTCACTGGTAGCCTCCGCGAGCGCCTTCTCCGCGTCGGCGGAAACCGCGTTCACGAGGTGCAGGTGCACGGCGTCCAGGCCAGTCACGCTTGGCAGGACAGCCTGCAGCGCGGCGAGGAGCGTCGTGCGCCGCGTGGGCGTGATCGCCGACGAACCGGGGAGGACGAGCATCCCTGCTGGTCAGTTAGTCGTTGGGATGGAAGCGTACTTGGCGGAGGGGGGTTGAAGGGGGGGAGGGTTGAGAGGATTGAAGAGACGTTGGCGTCGGGCTTCCGTCTTGGGGCGCTACTGTTGTTGAAATTCCAGGACCTGGTTGGAGTCGAAAATCCTATCCTCAGAGTGGAGGTCCAGCCATTAGGAGGTATTAGCATCTGGCTGTGGGCTGGATTAGACACTATTTGATCCCGTTCAATTGACCCTGATGTGTCGACTTCAGCCATGACGCTGCGGAACAGGTCGGTGACTCGAGGTGGAGGTCGTGGAACAGTCGGGGGGCGTGGCATGTTCGTGTTGACAACCCACCCCGGATTCTGTCCACGTTCTTGCCACTTACTACACATCCTCACGACTTCCGTCAGACGCGCCAACCATGGGAGGTAAGTGATATTCGGAACGCGACTTATATCAGTCACCTTCTCATCCCTGTGGTCGCGCCTCTTCGCCAAGCGCGAAACCAAGGTCCTGATTCTTGGTTTGGACAATGCCGGCAAGGTGGGTCGTACAGTATACCTGCAAGGTCGAGCTATACTCCCGAGTTGTCGGGAGGGATGCAGGAGCGGAAGGGCGAAGCGCTGTGGAGGGAGATCATGAGAAGCAAGCCTGCAAGGGCTGCTTTTGAGTTTCTCACACCAGTCCACCATCCTTTACCGCATTACGATGGGGGCCGTCGTTGCGTCGGCGCCAACAGTAGGGTCAAACCACGAGATCTACGAGTACAAGGGTGTGCGGTTCGGCTTGATCGATCTGGGTGGACAAAGTAGCCTGCGGGCGACGTGGAACCAGTACTTTGCCGACACGGCTGCGATTATTCTCGTCATCGACTCAAACGACGCGGCGCGCTTGGCACTAGCGAAGGCTGAATTGCAGAAGCTGGTCAAGGCCGAGGTGAGTCCTGTGAAGCAGCATGATGGTATGATGGTGTGGGTGAGGTGGGCTGGAGAGAGAGAGAGGGAACAGACGCCCATGGTGCGAGATGCGCGCGAACAGCACGGACACGCTTTGATGATCGCCGACGAAACGAGCCGCGCACCACTCTGACTGCTATTCTCGATGAGGAAATTGCTAACTCGCAGGAACTGCGCACTGCCCTCCTGCTCGTCCTGGCAAACAAGCAAGACTTGCCGGCTGCCGAGGGCCGTCTCACGCCGGCGCAAGTGTCGGAAGGGCTTGGACTCACAGACCTCCGCGAGCGCGAGTGGCAGATCATGGGCTGCTCGGCATTGACGGGCACCGGGCTCGTGGAGGGCATGGATTGGCTGGTCACCAAGCTCGAGCAGCGCTAGACTATAATGACATTACATCACGACACTTGCATGCCACACGAATCATTGTATGCTATCGGGGGATTTTGCTATTGCTGCGGGGATGAGGGGAACTCGTTAAGATGCGGGTTCTCTTGTCGTCGTGAGTGGTTGCGTTCCACCACTCCAGGGCCTATTGTCCTCTTACACTTCCTCGACTGTTCCGGCTTCGCGTTGACTGGGCTTGTGCTCACTCCCGTGCCTTCGGACTGTGCGCTACGTCTTTGGGACCGGAGTCGGAAGCTTGGATACGTCGGAGATCAGCTTCGTGTCCTTCTGTCCCGAAGGTAGCACGTGGTTCTGATCTATGTCGGTGTCGAGCTCGAGCTCTCCGAAGACTGTGTCCTCTTCGGCGTCCACGTGCTCCCAGTCATCTTCATCGTCTGTGATATGAGGGTCCAGCGCGGGCGTCTGCGGAGCGGGGCCGAGCGCAATCTCGTTATACAGCGAGCCCGACGCTCCAGCAGCAACAGGCGCTGCAGGAGGTGTAGCTGCGCGGTATCGTTCGCGCCAAGCCCACAATGAGGAGCGGGGCTCCGTTGGCTGAGGCTCCGTAGCCTTCTCATCCTCGATTGGCACGACAGTGGGGCGCGGCACGACGTCAAAACCCAGGGCTGCAGCGGCCCCTGTTCGAGGGGCACGACCACGTCCGTCCATGAGCTGCGCGAGAGGCACTTCGCGCCGCGGCGGGGAAGGCGGCGGTGGGGTGCGCATGGGTGATGAGGAGAGTGGGGAGTGACGGAGGGGGGAGGTACTGATCGGAGAGTGCAGAGGGGAGAAGGAGCGGGGGCGAACAAAAACGCCGGAGAGCGTGTTGGGCGCGCTTGCACCGCGGGGCAGGATGGAGACGTCGGCTCGACCCTCACTGATCAGGCTCTGACCGCCCCCAGCCAGATTGACGCCGGGACGACGCGGGTGGCGACGCTGTTGAGCGTGAGGGTTAGGGATTGGGCGTGGAGGAATTGGCATGGCGTTCAGGCTTGCTGGACGCCGGGTAGACAATGGTATGGGCGATGGAGTGGAGAGGCGAAGTGTACGGTGGGCGTTAGTGGGATAATGAATGAGAGGAGGGTGAGTGAGATTGATCCAGTGGCAATGGGTTTAGGAGGTGGTGGGGAAACGGGATGTCCAAGCCCGATGGCCGCGGGTGGCAACGCGTCCCGATAAGGGGATGGGACCGCGGCGTTGACAATGGTAACCCAAGAGGTGGTGAGACAGTGACACTGGGGCAAGGAACAGCGAGAGATAAGTGATCGCTGAGCGGTGGCCTTCTGTATAAGTCCATCGCCGTCTAGGCGCCTGTACGCCTGATTGCTGTGAGTACCAGGCCGGACGTAGTCATGAGACAAGAGTGCATCAGGGCTCACACACATCGACCCACCTCTGGAGGTTGAGGCGCTGTCAAGGCGCTGTCAACAACACCCGCAGATAGCCAGGGTAGTGACGTCTTGGATTTGCCACCGAGTGGCCAAATGCTGGGTTCCGCGGTTACTTGGTGACCGGTGATACGTCCCCACGGCGGGAGCAGAGTCCGATTGATCAAATGACGTGATATGAAATGCAATGAAACACCTCGACGCGTTCGACGCGTCGTCTCTTGGCGCCGTCCGCATGGCACACCTACGCGTCAGTTTCAGACGCACGTTGGCACCGGCGCACGTTTGTACTCACAGTACAACCGAGGCGCACATACAAGGCCAGTCTTTCAGTGTACAGCGCTTCGCGTAGTTCAGACAAAGCGCGGGTCGGCTCAATCTTCACACTATGACTCTCACGGACTTGGGCTTGCGGCGATCCGCGCGCTGTTCCAGGGAGAGCAACTCAGTGCCCGGAAATGCCAGCACTTGGAACTCCTTTTGCTCCCGTTGCGGCTTCATGCGGAAAACTGATAGCGACGTGCTCAATGCGCTGCCGGACTTGGGTTTCTTTATCTTGCGCTTGACCCACCCGTCCGGTCCCACTTCGTCATCCGACGTTGGCTGGGCGGCATCGGCACCCTCGCGAATCTTGTTGGTTCCGTCTTCGTTTGCCCTGTCGTCGGACGCACTTTCCAGTGCGGAGACCGGTGTCGAGGACGCCCTAGTACGCTCATCCTTCAAGAGCTTCAGCCCGTCCTCGCGCACATGTTTGGGAATGGCCCTTCCTGGATCAGCCTTGACGATCCCCGAGCGTCTGTACACATACTTTCCAGGGTCTAGCAGGAGGAGTTTGGTCCGTCCGCGGAAGTCCTCCTCGTATCCTACGATCGTGCGGGAGTGACCGTTGTGCTACGGTCAACCTGCGTGTACGTGCATGAGCGTACCTGGAGCATAAGGGGGAGCTGATCAGAGATCCTAACAGGCGGCGTGTTGCACAGAAAGCTATCAGAGTTCTCCCCATCTTCCTGAAGGTCCGGGTCGATGGTGTTCTGTGTCTTAGCTAATCAGCCGCACCTATGGCTCACGTAATATCGCTTGACCCAACGCAGTAGGATGTCGTAGGATGGCTCCGGGTGGGACATCGCAGGAACGGAGCGGTCGGCGGGCTTGGGGAAGTCATCTGGGATCAGTAACGAAGTTGGTGAGTACATACAGACGGTACAGGGGACGCCTAGGTATGAGAACATTGCGTACAGGTCTAGCTGTAAGCGTCTGGTTGCCTCTCAGCGCATACCGGATGGCCCGATCCACTTAGACGTTCCCACGATCTTGCCCTTGAAGTGGGCCCGCCCAGCAGGATCATACCCGGCGCGCCAGGCTTCATTGATCCAGTTCTGGATGGTGCGTACAGAGGGCTCGCTCTCCCCGGAAAATAGTGAAGTGTAAGGCGAATTAGGGAGCAAAAGTAGCGAAGCAATCGACATCTCGGCATTACGGTATCCACATCCCCAGGCTGTAGTCAGCGGCGGTCACGAGGAGTGAGCTTACAGCCATCAAAGCCAAAGGCGCCTTTAATGTGCACGGCATGGCGGGACAACACGGCACGCCGCGTTTCCTTGCTCTTCACTGAGCGGAGCAGAAGCTCTTTGAGAGCAAGCACGATGCCTATAAGTCAGCGTAGGGCTCTGATAGAAAATTGTATTAGAGTGATTTTGACGTGTACCCGAGGGCTGGGCCGAGGTCAAGAGCCCAAGGCATGGATCCAACTGGCCCCGTGAGGGAGGGGTTTGGTGGGTGATGCCCAAGGAAGGTGGTACATGTGGCAGGCGGATATCGGGAGCCGTTGCAATTGATCATGGATTTAGAGGTCATTGACACTCACCAGGCGAGAAGTTCGGCGGCAGATCGTGAGTTGAAAGCCCTCCACGAACAGGATCCCACCTGGTTGTCAGAATGGCTGTCCCCGCGTTGAGACGACTCACCACCTGTCGCCCTCAACTCTTGCATCCTTCCCCTTCCTCTGGCTTGCGAACACCTTACCATCCCATAACACGCCAGCGGCGCTCCTCGCCTTGCGACCGTTCTGCTGCGTGCTCTCCTCATCTTCGGAAGAGTAGAGAGACTGAGCCTCGAAGTGGTCGGTCCTTTCCCGCCTATCTGATGGTCAGAGCAACCTCTCGAGGTGGACTCGCCGAGGCAAGCAGAGACGTGGGCGTTCTGGTGTGCTTCGCCCAGACCCGTCAGATGGGCGCCGCAGATAAAGCACTCCACGCTTCGAGGACCACTGCAAAAGTTAGAGGTGGCTGGCAGATGAAATAGACGTACATGCTTCCAATAATCTCGATGTCGTCGTCATGGGCGGATGCGTTGTCCCCATCTTGATCGAAGTGGGAGTGAACGTGAGCCTCGAAGTCGGGATGGCCGGCATCGAAGTCTGTGTCACAGATGGGACATACAGGCATTTTGCCTGGCGTATGTAGTAATAGGAGTGAAGAGATGTGAGAGAAGAGTAGAAGAGTGGAAGAGATCGAGAGATCGAGAGAGAAGGTTGTTGAGAGCACACGAGTCAACTGCTCCACTAATTTCTGATTTCTGAGAGCGTGTGCTTGTTGTGAAACGCATATCGCGGAGACCCCGGATTTGTATGGCGTATTCACTGTGATTAGGACTTTAATAATGTCACAGGGGCCGAGGAACTAGGGAAGGGAGCGGAAGGACGCACGGAAGCATAGCGCAATGCGGCGGGGAACAAGTGCCAATCGCAGGGACGGAGAGGGCCGGTTGGTCGACGCGGCCAGTAACCTCGCTCTCGATCTCAGCTACTCCCTCTTTGTCACTCATCCCCCTTCCCAACATGTCTGACAACAACTCTGGCATCGAGGATACCCTCGCTGTGAGTAATTCTCTCACACAGGTCACTGACAATCTAGGCTGCGTTCGACAGCTCGTTCTCCATGCCCGCCCCAGAGCCGCGCCCCGAGTCCGAGAAAGCCTCCACCCCGGTCACCAAGGCCGACGGGGCTGGGGAGGAGGCTGAAGGCGAGGGCGAGGGCGAGGGTGAGGGTGAGGGTGGGGATGACTGGAAGCCAACGTACGAAGCCAATCTGGCTCAATGGCGCGCCGAAGCAGACGAGGCGCGCAAGAAGGCAGAGGAGACGCGCGCCAAGTTCGAGGCCGACAAGGAGGCTGCGGAGAAGGCCAAGAAGGACGAGGCCAAAAAGGCCGCCGACGCCAAGAAGGCGGCTGAGAAGGAGATCGCCGAGCTTGCCAAGCTCGCGATCGTTCTCGAGAACTCGCCCTCGCGTGTGACTGTGCCGGCGCACAAGCGTGCTGCGGCCGAAGAGCGAGACAAGAAGACGCGTGAGGCGTGGGAGATGGTCAAGCCTAAGGCCGAGGACGTAGCCTCATCGCCGTCCGCACCACCTAGCACAGCGTGGGAGGAGCTGAGCGCCCCTCATTCGTCAATTGAAGACATCTCCGCGTCGCACACTGCGCCTACTGGTTCCGCCTCGGACGGCTCATCCAGGTCCGGAGGCTCGTCGTCGCCAGAGAAGGCCAGGCCCAAAGCCGTCGAGAGCAAGAACGAGGGCAAGAAGGAGACTGTCCCACTTCCGGCCGGCATCACGCCGACGTCTGACGCGGTCAGCCAGGCAGTTGGCGCAGCGCCCCAGCCCGACCCTGCCAACGCGACCCCGTCGCTGACCCTCTCCATCTTCACTGCACCAGGAGGGCTCACAGCCAAGCGTGTGTTGGCCGCCCTCGGTATCAACCTTGTCCTGCCTTTTGTCAACGGCATCATGCTGGGTCTCGGCGAGATCACAGCTCGCGAGTTTGTTCGCGTCGGTCGCCTGTGGTGGAAGGGCGAGCGTGCGATTGCTGGCATCTGGCGTAAGGACGACTCCGGCGCAGGCTCGGGCGCACGCAGCGTCGCACACGTCGGACTGAGTGGGGGCGCAGGATTCTAGGTCTTGTTAGTCAGTGTAGCACAGTAGGATAGTAGACATGCACATATCAGCAATGTAGAGGCATACTTGACACGCTGGAAGCAGCCTCCCAGCATTGACGTCTGCAGTGGACTTCGCCGCCCGAGCACTCAGCATGGAGAGTGGGACGTTCGCCGATGAGATCGCAGATCGGCTGCAACCGAAGGTGGCGAGTGCGGCAAGCTGCGGGATGATACCTCCACCGACCGTTGTCGTTGGCTGCCCACCTCCAACTGCTCTTCCTCTCTGACCACTTTTAACAAGGGTTGCGCGATGTGCTCTTCCCCACTCCCGTGATGTCGCACTCTCCCTCCGCCCTCCTTGACGCGCTTCTTCGCACCACGACCGATGCGATCATACCGCTGACCGCGGACGGCGTGCGAAGCGGGTGCAAGGTGTTTGGTGCCGCCATATTGCGCAAGTCTGACCTTGGGCTAGTCCTCGCCGCGACCAACCACGAGACTGCCTCACCGCTGCTGCACGGCGAGATCAACTGCATTCAACAGTTCTACGCACTTGATAATCATCCCGACCCCAAGGACTGCGTGTTCTTCGCCACGCACGAGCCATGCTCCCTATGTGCGTTGTTGTCGAAGGAAGCTCATCGCAGGTCTCTCTGGCATCACCTGGTCAGGCTTTGACAACTTCTACTATCTTTTCACTTACGAGGACACGCGGGACGCGTTCGCGATCCCCCACGACATCAAGATCCTGGAGGAAGTGCGTACGCAGCTGAATAGAACTGACGGCAGGTGTTCAAGGTGCCCGCGGCCGGAGAGACGGATGAACAGTATGCTGCGCGCCCATTGTACAATCGCGAAAACGCCTTCTTCAAAAGTAAGAGTGTGGCGCAGCTTATGCTAGATCTCCCGGCAGACGAGGTCGAGACCGCACGGAAAAGGGTTATGGATGTAAAGGAGGCGTACGACCGCTTGTCCCAGGTGTACCAACTGGACAAGGGTAAGGCGGGCATCCCGCTGGCATAACCGATGCAGTAGATGCATGGCAGTCAACTCTTGTCCTCGCATAATACCTAGTACTGTCTTAGCCTTTGCTGCGCGGGAGCTCAATTGCGGGGTAGTGCTGTGAATCAGCTGGGCGAGACGTCTTTTCCTCACCACCCAGACGTAGTAGTCACGGATCTTGAGGTTTTCGAGCTGCCCATTGAACGTGATGCGCGCAACCCAATCAATGTCGCGCGCCTGCTTGCCGTCCACGATACGGTCGAAGTCGAGTGTACCTACAACGTACGCGATGTTTGGGTCCGCGCAGAAGATGTGCTGGTAGTGGTGCGCCATATGTGTGAAGGTCTCCTTGACAAGCGAACGGCGCTTGCGGATAGAATCCCGGCCCACGGCAGGCTGATGCACGTGAAAGGTGACATCCTCCGTGAACTGAGCAGCATAATGGTCGTAGTCCTCCTCATCCGAGATACGGTAAAAGTCTTCGATAAACTTTACCACTGCCGGGGGTACGGGCACGCCTGTGACTGAAGGGATCATGTTGAGCGACGAGAGACGCATTGCGTCAAGCTGGCATTTGTACATGGCTTGCGAGAGGCCATGTCGGTGATCGGCGGTTAATTGCCGGTCTGCCGAGATGTGGTCAGAGATAATGTGGTAAGCGGTCATGTGACAGCATTCACCACCAAGCATGGAGACCGATGAAAGACCGCGTGGCGCTCAATCTCGAGGGTAGATCTCTGTGCCGAAATCTGGCAAGGGGTGTAAGCATGGAAGCACATTCAGATGGCGCGGTGGGTGGAGGGTTCCGAATTAGGAGTGCAAGTCGCTGGGACTGATTATGGGGACATGCAGACCGAAGGCTGGCGTTGGCGTCCGGGACTCTACAGCCAGCCAAGAGGCTCCATTGTTGTCTTTCAAGCTGGCGGAAAAGTGATCCATTGTACAGTCAAGCCAAGAACAAGAGATGGAGCCCGCAGCGACCAGGGTGCTCAGGATGGGCGACCGTTTCCCCATCACATGAGGCCCAATAGATTGCGAAACGGCGGCAGCTAGTCTGGACTCTCAGCTCTTCCCGGTAGAGATAGCCGCAAAGGAGACGAGGTAGACAAGCCCGCCACAACTGCAACTGCATGAGACCGACCAGCTAGCTGAGGGTAAGAGAAACTCCTAATGCTCAGCAAACGCGACCCACTGTCAATGGCACCCACAATACGTCGCCAACTTAAAGTAGTCACAACTGGACAAGAATTCGCCGCCTATCTTATGTCGACTGGCGGGCGTGGTAGTTCGAGATTGTGAGGTCGATCGAGGTCGCTCGCCTGGCATTGCGGAATGGATGTGCCTTCAGTTAACACCGCTTGCTTCTCAAATCAATTATATGACTAAGAGTTTTCACAACCTACCCTCGAATTTCTACGCTTTGATACATGCGGCCATGCGCCCCTGCTAAGCGCTTGTGCAAGGAGCAAAGAGGGAGAGATGGGACGAAGATCGCCACAACCTCACTGATCCCGTTGTCATTTAAAGGAAGAGCTGTCTTGCATTTTGCGCCGGACAACCGCAACGGAATTGCTAATCTAGCATCAAAGACTCCGGCCTGCAGCGAGATAGCTTCTGGCGAGGAAACTAGCCCCTCTTACAAGTGCGGATGAAATTTCGCTTTCTGGCTTGGTCGGTAGTTAGTGTTCGCATCGACCGACTGATTCTTGCACGGCGGTCCCGCCCTCATGAAATAACCAGTGCTTTGTAGCCCAACGTTCAGCCGAACGTCGCCCGATTGTACGAAACATTGCCCATTACTAGCCAAGCGCAGCACCATCAACACGACACGTTCCATCGACTGAGCAATTTCGCCGCCAAGACGGGAGAGTTGCTGTTGGGCTACTACGTTCTCTGGCGTCGTCAGCACGCTGTGAGTACCGTTTATGTGGTTAATCTGACCGACCGTGTGTTTATTGTTCATTGAGTGTATTCTCCGCCAGCGGATCAACGAGAGACGAGGGTGTTACGATGCGGGCGTCCCTCAAGCCTTCTGGCTTCCAATGGTTAAGTTCGCAATATGGTTAGGTCCAGAGGCCGCGATCCACTCCCACGGATCATTTTCGACTGCCACACGGGCAGCACAGAATGCGTGCGTCAGATGCTCCTCACTTGTGCGATGCTGGCGATCAATCTCCGTGAAACACGCATGAAACGGTATCAAACTAGTCGCGAAACGCTACCCAGGGCTGGAGCTGCCACACTGAGCAACGCCTCGCTTGGATCACGTACGATGTGTATTGTTGAGCCCAGACCACCGTGACAACCCCGAAGTGGCAGTCGGCGATGAAGTCCATGACGAGAGTGGGTGGCGGGCGCTGGAAGACGGCGAAGGGTGAAGAAGGCAACAAAAGCCCTGAGTGCCTGAGACGGCAGGGTGCGAAGGTTGGCCCGCGCGTTTAGGTTGTTCGGCTAGCTACGCTTGGCCGTGACGTGATGTGAAAGGGAGTGTGGCTGGGAGTAAGTTGGTAGAAGGGCGCGTAGGACGATTAGAATTTGTCATCTTTCTGGGAGTCGCTGTACCCAACGTGCCGGATTCAGGCGTCACTCGGGGCCCACGCAGGCACTGCACTCGTGACAGAAGCTGAGGCGCAGATGTCAGTTGCTGCAGAAGGACATGCGAGGGAAGCGGTCGTGAGGTCGAAGAAGACGGAAATAGGCACAGGTACGACTGCAGGGTTGCTGCTCCGCAGGACAGCATTTATTGTCACCAAAAGACGCGAGAATGGCGCAGCAGGCACTACTGAATTGCCTGCACTAGTGTGAGGGTGAGTGTTGCATGAGATGCACGGTGGGGATTTGGGTTGTGGCGGCCTGGTGGGGTGGTACATCAGTTGTAGAGAGACGTTACAAGAGGACAAGGCTGGGAGAGAAATGGATGGTCAGTATCCAGGCCCGAAACACTAGTGGGTGCGCCTTTTCAGAGAAGGAAGGACTTGCCCTTGGACGTTCGCGTAACAAGGCGGACGACAACCTACACTCAGAGCGCGGGCATCCAACGTCCAGCGGAGTGCAGAAGGAGGCAGCTGAATTCCTGAGTACAGTAGCTCGGTTTGGCGTATGTGGTGACGTCGGAGTCGACCCGTCAACGGAACAGGCGTAGCGGTCTGGTACGAAATATTGGAGAGGGCTCAGAGGATCGCGGAAAGTCGCAAAACGTGAAAGCACGCGAAGCTTGTGGCAGCTGGCTGCGAAACCGTGTACGGCTTGCTGGGCCCGCGTGAAGGTATGCCTCGGATCAGACCTTGGAGAACGGACTGTTCGCAACCCACCCTTACCTCAGCGGAGGCTCTGCGGATGTTGTACTCGAGGATCATTTGGTCGAAATATTTTCCCCAGCAAACACGGAGCTGAGACTCACACAAGGGACCGCCGAGAGGGCGGCGTTAGAAATGCACGCGTGGTTATGAGACGAGTTTGAATCAGTAAAGCGGCGTTTCGCGTAGGCGCGCTTCTGTTTCGTGCCATTCACCGGCACCATTACTCTTGCCTTGCGCCCTGGTCCCACAGGCGGTAGAGCCCACTCAAGAAATACCTGAACCACTGGTGTCAAAGGACCTACCGAAGCCGGACGAAGCAAGGTACCCATACGAGGCGGCCTGATACACACCCCAGGGGGAGCAGACATCACAGTTCTCTGGCTAACCGCTCACCAGAGTGATGAGAGTTGCGGGGCTCGTACAGCTGTCGCCACAGAAGGGAGGATTCAAAAAGGTGAGCGGCGCAAAATTGCGAGCGCCAGCTGATACCGGCATTGACCTGTTAGAGGATTTGCTGGGACTGGCAAATGTGCCTTCACCGTCTGTACAAGTAAAAGAGACAAACCGCCATTGGCGAGAGGCAAAACGAGCGGTGAGAGAGGAAAGGGGAGAGGTGAATGCCTTCGAAGGTCCTCGGGTAGATCTTGAGTCCACCATACCGCATCTGCCGGCGCGATAGCAAGACTTCCTTTGGCGAGACTTCCTTTGCCCAAAGTGCGACGCAAAGAAAGATACCTTAAAGGATGAAAGTGGATAGCTAACAGGACACTTGGGACGGGGTGGAGAAACGACCGTTCATGGGACTAGGAGGGCGAAAATACCAGGACCATATTGCCGTCGACTCGTTGTACGGCGGGATCTCGAATGCGCATGACTTGTCGGCAAAGTGAGACCAATGATCCTCACACAAGTATCACTCCACCAAGGGACGGCTCAATCCTTCAGCGGACGAACGCAGGTCGCTTCCCCAGATATGTCGCATAGTGATGTTGTTCAGGTCGGATAGATCCGAGGGTCGCCACGGCCACTCACGCCACACGCGTCGTTGGCCTTGCGTGTCCTTCCTCCTGGGTGGCTCCAGGTCGTGTCGGACAAATCCACACAGACGCACATTTCCGTGGGCTGTGGAAATAATCGTTGCGGCTCAGCGAGCACTTCCACCCAACCAATGTGGTCAAGGGAACGCTGAACCACCGAGGTAATGGGCGGACGGCGTTTACATTAATTCGCTCGTCGGTGATGTGGTGTGGAAAATTCCCCCACTTTGCTAGGTCCTCATCCGCCTTGAGTCTCAGCGACTTAGATCAAACATGGTCTGCTGGTAAGCTTCCCACTGTCTACTTCGCTGTGTTTATTGCCTGTGTACTAGATGCCTGTGTACTTGGCGCCAATAGCTGCGCAGCTCACTAGGGACACGAACTACTTGCCTTCGTAAGGTTGCCCCAATAGGTTGTGGAGAATCTTATGACGGTTTTGACCGTAAGAGAAAACACGATGTGACCAGCCACGCTCAGAGAAGTCTTGTCGCAATTGGTCCTCCCAGCTTTTGCATGCGATGTCAGAGCGGTTGAACGCTAGCCACAATATCGGGGAATGTATCCCCTCGATTTGGGGGAAAACACTCAAGAGCAGCATCATGCAAGCTCACTTCAGGTAAGTGGCGGCGCCGAGATACGAGATGGAAGGCAGAGAAACCTACGACTCGTTGTTTCGACTACCGCACAGAGGAAGTGAGCAATGTTAACAATTGTTTGTGCTATGTTGCTGGCTCGTTGAGGGTGTGGCATTAGAGGGTGTTGCACGTCTGGCGACTGAGTTGGGTAGCGCACTCCTCACTCTCATCCTGTAATTGGATGGCGAAACAACCTGTTGTGCCGTGTCAAATTGTATCGCTCCTTTCCCTATTTAAGTCAGCGCGACAGAAGTGGATGGCTTGATCAGATTGACCCATCCATTCCATGGCAGGGCAATGAAGGGCGAGAACCGATGCATTCCAAAGCATCCCGTACTTGGGCCACAGCCGCGGTAGGTGAAAGGCGGCGGTCTCCGCACACACCCAGGTCAACGCGTGGAGCGGTCGCGAGTTCAGGACCATTATTCCGATGCAGGAGCGGCGCCAGACCGCTTGTTAACAGGTGGAAGAGCCATACTCACAGCTCAGAGTGGATGGGGTCATTGATGGCCCAAAAGTATTTTGAACCCCCCTCAAGATTGGTGTTCCCGGAACATACTGCCCATTTTCCCGGGGCAGGGAGAGATACCAGTTGGTTGCAGATGTAGGCTAGATGCTCATGCAGCCGTGATTGAATCGTGGATCAATCGGTGACGTGAGTGTAGAAAAGATGCAATAAGATGTACCGGCTGGTCGGGCGGGTTTCATTTGCAGCAGCGTAGTTGCGGTCACTATCGTATGTGTCCGTGCCGTCTCTTTGCGACGCCACAGAGTATCACCTGTATGGCTGACGTTGCGTTGCGGGCGATGCACAGGAATGCAGAGACATGGTGATCGTACGTCATGTCGTCATGGGCAGATGGCCGACAGTGCACTCGGCAAGACACGGCCATGATCGGGATATATTGCGAGAGATAGGCACGACTCCCACCTTCATGTTGCTGCAACTTTCCCATTATCGTACCTCTGCTCCATCTCGCATTACCGTGCGAGAGTTACTTGGGGTTGGTATTCGTGGACAAGAGCTAACGGGTGCGCTGCACCATGTTGGTGTCATGGAGCAGATCGGTCGGCGATCAATAGACCACACAGCCGGTCCCGCCCAGGCACGTGATGTACAGTACCTCAATATCATGCCGTTCACCACCCAAGCCTCTGCCATCTGCCAAGGCTCCTGCATCTCCCGTGTGATCGCTCCGGCAAACGACTGCCCGTTCCAATTCCTCCTACCCTCCTTCAGGCCGCAGGTTACCATCTGCAAGGGTTGAGGGGTTTGCGATCTGCAGGCAATCCCTGGGCGCACTCAACGCGTCATCTCAGCCCCACTTTCTAAGCGAGTTGATCGTCGCGGTCAGTCACCCCGACAGCTGCTGCCGACGATGGTAGGCAGATCCTAGCTGCCCACGCTGAATGTCGCGCTTGCCTTCATCCAGCAGCCCACGCGACCGAGTGCCATGACAATCGGTCATCAAGTCTGTCCTCCCGTCTCCCTCCAGCCCGCCGTCCTCGCCCTAGGAACATGTTGCCCATGAATCCAGATGGTGCGGGACGATTTAACTGAGTTTCTGGTATGGTGCTCAGCCGGGGATGAGGGGAGCCAGTAAGGGTCACACCGAAGGCACGATGATTAGGCACGTCCGGGTTCCTGCCCAAAGGCAGTGTAAGACATGTCATCACGGTTTGCACATGTACGAGTGGACGGGGCAGCGCTGCATTCGCGCGAACAGGTCAAAGAGAAGGAGGAAAATGGCACTGTGCGAAGGGAGAAATACAAGTGAGGGGGTGGGTTCGAATGTCGCAGGGGCGGAGATCATCGCCCTTCCGTCGGCGCGGCTGGTGCCTATGCTCCTCTATCAACAACACTATCCGCGTCGAGCACGCACCACAAGGGTCCCAATGCTGTTCGAAAAAATGGATGGAGAACGAAGCCTGACGAGCAGATGAAGTCGCGGCTCACCCGGATCCTTCTAACCACAACAAAGCTCAGGCGCTGTTGCGCCCCAGGGGTCATCTGCGATTTGCTCGCGAGAACTGACATGTGGCTTGAGTTATTATTATCTACTGCTGCGGCAAATTCATCGGAGTCCTTATGACAGAAACAGAGGGCTCACTGTGGCGAAGGTGACGGTCATCATGCGGGGTGTACCGCCTACCTCAGAGCTTGTGGGCGTCATACCTTGCTTCTAGGTAGAACGCCGACGCCTGACGCTCAAGCCAGACCACAACCATGTAGTACTACTAAGACCCCATTTGGTTGCAGCGACCACCTCCGCTTCCGCTCCGTTGTTGCCCGCAGCGGATATGTGGCACTCCAGCTTTGCCCTCATGTCTTGCGACGCGCGTAGGGAGCTAGTGGCCCACGATATCTCAGCATGACCGGCTTGTCGCGACACGTTTCCAACTTCGACATGTTTGGCGGACCCCGACACTGGCCCACTACGAAACAATAGTGGTGGGATTACTCACCACGACCACACGAGCAGTCGTCACGCAGTGCGCAAATTTCGGTTTCCTGTGATCATCTTGGGACAGCGCAGCAGGGCCGCTCGCTTCGCCTCTCGCCATAATCGCCATACTGCTGAGGTCACCTTCAGCCGCCGAAAAGTGTGGCCTCCGCAGCCCTGCCCCCCTTGAGTTCGTTCCTCTCGTAACGCGGCGAACGCCGCTCTTCCAGCATTATTCGGTCACCGGGAGGAACATGGGCGTCATGTTCCACGGGCGCCACTGTGTGGCCAACAAAGGCCTTACCGTGCCTGACCGTGCCTTTTCCGCAGGTATTGGCCCGAGGAACACGACTGACCGAAAGCAGGCACAAAGGTACCCTTCCAAGCTTGGAGCTCCCCAACGAGGTCACCACTTGAGTACCCTCAATAACCACATGCTTCCTGGATCAATGCTCATCGTGCTCATGAAACATGAGTCCGTATATCGCTTTGCGTCGCTGAGAAACACGAACAGGTCGCGGATCATGCGGATCATGCCAGGCCGAGATGGTAACTTCGTCTCCTCGAGTCAGGCGCGTCTCATGTCTGTCAAGTGGCACAAACGATATCACATTGCATGACGCTCAATCTCGCCGGCTCTTTGTGCGTGGTAAAATTTGCCCTTGGGCTGGGGCAGTGTAAAGTGCATGCATTCGTTATTATGGAGGATGTAGTCACAGCAGAACAGCCCGCTGGGCGTCGTGTATTGTAAGCGGAGGAGGGCAACCACATGGAGGGCAAAATGGGCCTGGTCTGTGGCTCAATGGTCCTCTTGTGGCGGTAGTCCTGTCGATTTGTGCTTTGCTGGGTCGTCACATTGTCGTGGCCGGCAGCGCTCCACGCTGCCTGGCGGTGCGTATTGCAGGTCGTAGTTGAAACAGTAGTAGTCCGTGTCGAGTGAATCAGGGAAGCGCACGTCGTGTGTATTGGCGTCCCAGACGAACTCGATGGTGCAGGAAGCGGTGGGGGGGGGGGGGGGGGGGGAGGGAAATGGGGACTACGGGTTGCACGGGGAAGAAACTAGTGGAGAAGATTACGGAGAGATGTTTTGGGCTGGTCGGGAGCGTCTTCCACTGACACCGGGGGATCGGTGAGCCGACGCGGGAGGCCACCGCGGGATGGAGGTAGGTCACGATCACGATCACGTTCGCGCACATGAGGTCCATCGATAGGAGGAGCGCGATACCGGAACTCGGCGAACCCTATCCCCCGCTGAGGGGCCGGATATGCACGAGGCGAGTAGTTGCTGGCATGGTCAATCGTTGCTGGGCGACGGTCAAAAGTTGGCGATGGTGGGCGGCGGGATAAGGACGCAGAGGTGTGCAGAATGCGCCCGTCCCTGGGGTCGCCCAATGGAGGCTGCAGCACTCGGTGTGGTTGATCGTAAGGGCTTGGGGCGTGATGAGCGTAACCGGAAAGCGGGCGCTGATCATAGCCTGATGGAGGTCGTTGCTCGTATCCCGAGGTCGGGCGTGGGGGCTCGTAACTGGTGGCTGGGCGGCTGTGGTCCAGAGGCGCCGCAGGAGCCGTTGGGATCCTTCGCGCATTTGCCATGCTGCTGAGGGCCTCAGAGACGTTGAGCCGGTCGATACCATCACGCCGCGCCAGAAGATCCTCATACTGTCGTTGCAGAGCCTCTCGAGGCAAACGCAACTGTCCGTCGCATTCAAGAAGCATGCGCGTCTGCTCCAACAGAATGGAGGTAAGCTCCATGTTGTTACGAGCATTGTCCGCTCGCTCGGTGCCGAGGGCATGGTGCAGCCTGTTGACCGTGTCTTGCAGTGACGACACCTGGTTACTGAGTGTGTCATTCACGCCGAGACGACTGGAGTTGGCTTGAGGGAAGGCAGTCTCTGACCGTGTGACAGACGACTCGCTGTGGTATTGGCGACCATGAGGGGGCAGCGAGCTAGTAGTCCCCATCGATGGCAGATTCGCGTCGAACTCCCTTGATGGGGGGCGGGGCTGGCCAAAGTATGAGCGGGCAGAGGATGGATAATCACGGGTGGGTGGGGAGTAGCGAGGAACAGCGTGAGCAGTCGAGTTCCACACTATGGGCTTCGTTTCGTCCTCGTTGGGTGACGTCGTCGGATGGGTAGAGGAGTGAGGGACGTCTTGATTCTGACGGTTGGATTTGCGTTTGATACTGGCCAGAAGATGAGGCTCGCCCCGTCGGAAGAGAGGATGCCGAAATTCCCAAGCCTGTGGGTCGGCGTTGGCTGTCGAGTACAGGTCTGAAACCTTGTTAAACCTGTCGTGTAAGCGAAGAGCGAGGACGATGCAGTGTGGACTGACGAATACATGTTGAGTTGCCGAACAAACGATTGCCAGTTGTTGTGTTTGAAATAGTTTGGCAACACTTCCCTGTGGACAGAGTCAGTCGCCGCAACTAAAGTACAACGCAGGTCGCTCAACCTACTTTGAGAACTCGGTGGGGTTTGGGCACACAAATGACGAGCCGTCTTGCGACCAGTGGAGCAGGCCCGACCTGCGGGTCTTGTCGTCTTCAAGCATGGAGTAGAGCTTACCGACGAAAGCCGCTTGTGTCTTGGGAGGCGGCTGCACAAGCTGGTTGGCGTAGGCGCCTCCAGATGGGCTGCGGCGATCTTCATGGTGAGCTGAGCCACTTGGGCGAGACGGGACAGTCCCACGAGAGTCGGGATGGTCACGATTGCGGTCTTCGCGGTTGTCATCGCTGGCACGCAAGTTGGTCCGTTGTTCACGCGGCCACTGTCGTTGATCAGGGGTTGGGGCATCAGTCTGCCATGTCGGAGCCCGAGGTGCCGAGGTGGAAGGGCGGGGGGCAGCGCGAGAGGCTTCTTCTCCACCGTCCGAAGAGGTCGGTGACGCCGACAGCGAGCCAGATTCACCTGGGCCAGGCTCTTGTTCCAGGGATGAAGACGAAGAGGCAGCGGGGGGCGTCGCGGCGCCATCCCCTCGAGAGGAAATAGCGGAGCGACCTATGGACATGTGGCTATCCTCTGACCTTTGACGCTTGTCCGCGTCGTCGTTGATCAGGGAGAGCCGCCGCTTGGTCGACACGCGGCGATTGTTGTTGGACATGGGCAGAGGTGGGGTATCGAGAAAGCGGCTCGATTGTAATCGGGAACCTAGCCCATCGCCTCGATGGCGAGCGGGAACTGGCTGAGCTGGGAGGGCGATCGTGATGGCAAGCGAGTGAGGTCGACGTTGGAGTCGGCCTCGAATGGAGACAATGAAATAAAGGGGGGGGGGGGGGTTCAGGTCAAGGCCACCTGGGTACGAGTTAGCACATTGCTTATGGGCGGGTGGTTGGTTTTGTATGACGAGCGAGTGGCAAGAAGGCAGGGGAGGACAGGGATGTGAGGATAGCACAGGGGAATGACGGAGCAGGACGAGTCGAAGCAGCGAAAGCGAGGAGAAGGCGAGGAAAAGAAGAGAAGATGCAAGAGGGTGACGTGTGGACGAAGAGCGCAGAGGAGTGTGAAGAGTGAGAGGATGATGACGGGCAGAGCAACGAGAGGGGGAAAGAGTGAGAGATTGATAGAGGTCGGTGCAATCTCGAGAAGCAAGGAAGAGGAAGAACGGTGCCGAAGACGCAAAGTATTCCCCGATGCACACGCGCACGCGCGCGCACGCTCTCTTCCACTCGAGGATCCACACGCTGTTTCCCTCCTTCAGATTCTTGGCTTTCGCACCTCTGCTCCGCTCCGCAAACTCTGTTCGGCACAGCCTGGCGCCCAGTGCCCCAATTTACCCTTCACCCAGCCCCCTCGTCCGGTCTCATATCTCTTCGCTCCCCTTCTTCTTTGGCGACTCTCCGCTATGCCCGCTATGCTCGGCAAGGCCGTGCCTGCGGCCCATCTCGAGGTCTCTGGACGAGCGCGGGCCCACCATTTCTGGAATGAGGGGGAACAAAGGCGGTGACGCTTGGGCCCGAACCCCCTGCCGCAGGACGCCACCTCCGCCTGAGGATCGGTAGAATGCCGACCCTCGACACTATCCAGCCACATGACGCACACCACACCCATGCTTCCGACAACATGGCGCGAGCGCAACAGCCTACGACCCGGCATGCAAGCGGCTCAAAATTCGGGCACACACCAAATGATCGACACTCGCCCTCCAGCGCCGAGGTCGGCTCTCGAGACAAGGGCGGTGGTGTAGTGGGAAAAAGGAAGAAGTTGACGAAGGAGTGGGGAAGACCGGGGAAAACACAGAAATGAAGAGTCGAGATGGAAGAGAAGGACGAAGAGGGTGGGGACAAGAAGTAGGAATGGAAGCGTAATTTGGGATGGGAGAGTGTGGATGCGATGAGTGAGGCTGAGCGTTTTCAGAAACAGAAGCCGAGACGTGTGCAGTGCGTGGTGGTGTCACCAAGCCATGGCCACACTCTGGCATGAGGCGCTTCGTGGGTCGAGAAGCTACGATGCAATGCAGGGACGGCTTCGGAGGTGGATGGGTGGGTGGGTGGGTGGATGCGAGGCTTGGGGGGGCATGAGAGGGTGGCACGAGGCGCGGGCACGAGGAACGAAGGAACGAGGGAACGAGGAATAGCGGGGATTGGGGCGACAAGAGAACCGGAAGCTAGACGGATGAGACTGACCTGTGAGACGAATACCAAGACGCTGTTGAGGTGGAACGAGCAGCAAGTTGCTGAGCGAATTCCTAGATGGACCTGTCGAGGTCAGCTGCATGCTACGTCGAACCTGAAGCGAAGCGTAGCCGAAATGTCGCGCGTCGTTGACTCAATATGTGGGGAAGGGGAGAAAGTGGGTGATCGTCGAAAGTTGCTGTGGAGGAGCTAGGGGATACGTCGAGCTGAGGGCAATAGCAGAGGAGACAACTGCGGCGATGGCGGCGACAAACGACAAAGGGGGGGGGGGGAGTGACGGAGGGGGGGAAAGGAAGGGAGAAAGAGAGAGGAGGGAGTGAGACGGTGGATGTACGTACACCTTGTTGTGGTTGGCTTGTGTCCAGGAACAGATTCACCAACTTGATCAGACGCACAAGGGAGAAGTGAGGGGCGGAGGTCGCTCGGCCAAGGGCCTGTAAGAGGCTCCGTAACCCGTCCCGAGATTCAATTGTCGCGCTTGTCGACGCCGACTGAAGGAAGGCACAAAGATATGCTGTGGTGTGGTGAGGAGGAAGGTAAAAGGACCAATTATCGATACCGAGACGAGCAATAGAGTGCAGGCCGTGCCAGAGTGAAATACAGAGGCTTGTGTATGTGCGCGAGCGCGTGTTTGCGGCGTGTGGCGTTTTGTGATCAAAATGCGTCGTGTCTCAGGTGGAATGATGGAGAAAGCGGAGATGTCGCCACTAGTCGGACACGAATAGACGGAATGGCGCGTGTTGGAGCCAGCCACGGTGTGTGTGTGTATGTGTGTGTGTCGAGCGTGCGGGAGTGTGCCAGTGGATACAGTGACTTGAGATCTCGGAGGCCAAGAGCGAAGAAGGTGCTGATGTCGGTACGCAGTGGAGAAGAGCTCTTGCAACAAGGCTAGAGAGCGATGGTGCAAGAAGGCATGCGATTGCAGTCCACCTGTGACGCGTTGCGGTCGCCTTTACTCCAACGGAGGAGGCTTAAAGGCCCAGAAGCGGTTGCGGATGATCTCAAGCGAGGACACGATAATCAATGAACCCAGGCGTGTGGGTCAAGGACAGTCGAAGGCCGAGAAGGACGGAAGGAAGAGGGCAAGGGGCGGTTACTACTTCAGTTGCTGGGCTGTATTGCCGATCCTATGTCGAACAAGATTATGGGAAGAACTTTAAAGCCCCAGTGACAAGTGGACCAAGGCAGCGGGGGAGTAATGCAGGCCAAGCTTTCAACCTAAACACAGGGTTGGGCGAGTTGTGCAGAGACGTGCTTACGAGGGCAGCGTTTGTGCAGTCTGGGGTGTGGACGCAGCCAAAGCTGAGACGGGCGCGTGATGCAGGGGGCAATCAAAGTTGAAGGTGTGATGTCCGCGAGGCTCGAGCGCCGAGGGAAGGGGCTGTGTGTTTTATGTAGCGAGTGAAAGTGTCAAGGGCACGCAGCTGAATGACGAAGAGGGCGGTGTGGGTGTGCGGGCAGATGAGGAGTGTGATGATGATGACGATGTGCGAAGCGCGCGGGACTGGGGGTTGATGAGGGCGTCTGAGGAGAGAGATGGAGAGTGAGAGTGATGCAGGGGATGAAGAAGATGTGATTAGATGATTGAAAGCTTCCCCAGTTACGAGCTAGACGGAGCTACCCACGCAGTAGGTCGCAAGGAAGGGTTGGTTGGTTGGTTGGCTGGATGTCTAGCCAAGTGGCCGAGGGGTGCCGAGGAGCCGAGCTCAGACGCTTGCAGAAGTGCGGAGGTGCGCCAATGCGATGAGTGGGGTGATGGGCGATGGGCGATGGGGCGATGACGGCCAGATGGCCAGATGGGCGCTGGCGATCGAGAGAGAGAGAGAGAGAGAGAGAGAGAGAGAGAGGAGAGAAGGGCGGAGGGGGGATAGAGGGAGTGTGGAAGGGAGGATGAGCGTGGCTGGGTGGCTGCGTTTATGCCCTTCGCAATCTCAGGTGGCGTCGGGATGGATGCCCACAGAATACCAGAGGGGTCTGACGGATCACACACGCGGTCGGCGCGGTCGGCGTGAACGGGCTTGAGTGTGGAATGGAATGTCTCCCAACACCGGTCGTTGGATGCTCGATTCAACGTTTGTCCCTGTTGCCAAGATCGGTACAGGCGCAAGACGACGGGCGGGCAAGGAGGCCAGCGAACAGCGGCTTGTGCACAAAGTCACAAGATGGAGCGTCACAGAAGTTTTGGTGCACGGGTGTTGTTGGTCGCGGGACGATGGTGGGGTGGCAGGATAGAGGTCCAAGCGAGCGAGTGGCCGAGGAATGGGTTGACTGTGAAGGGTAGATGGCGGAAGTCGAGAAGTGTCAAGGGGAGGAGAACAAGAGAAAGAGAGAAAAAGAGAAGAGAGAGAGAGAGAGAATGGGGGCGACCAAGGGAAGAGGGGTGAGTGCAATTGGAATTGGACAAGAGGAGCGAGCGGCGCTCTGCACGCCAGCGCTATGCACGGGGACCGTTTGAAGAGGGGGGAGGGGGAAGGGGTGTTGAAGAAGGGAGGTAGGAGCTGACGACGTTGATCGGTCTGAGGGTCGTGATTGTGAGTAATGGTCGGGGGGATAGTGGGGAGAGAGGGAGGGGAGAGAGAGAGAGGGTGAGAGAGATGAAGAAGATGGAAGCGAAGTAGAAGAATTAGAGTGGACGTCAAAAGAAACGCCATCATTCATACATCCACTACCGGTATCCAAGTCGATCAGGCTGCAGGCGAGCAGGCGCAGGCGAGGAGCCAGAAGGGGCGAGAGAGGGTGGGGGGGGGGATAGCCTGCAGCCGGTTTGACGGGCCGCGGGCCGGAGACGCGGAGAAGGCGGAGAGGGAGCGAGAGGGCAAAAGATGGGATGGATGGATGTATCGGTGTGGAAGACGAGGCTCTGTCACGCGATACGAGGATCGGCCCGGAAGGGTGAGAGGGGCAGGGGAACGAGGGGAAGTGGCTAGTGGCTTGGGGGGAACAGGGCTCGGACCTAGTGAGGGTTGAATTATCAGAGTGTGGGTTCGGTAACGGATTACGGATATAACGGAGACTAACAAAAAGCATGTGGTCAACTTGAATGACGGCATTTCAGGCCCAAGCTAGTCCAAACTCCGGCCACTTTCTCCCTTCTGCACCCAGTGCATGCAAGCTGCATGCAGGCCATGCAGGCCATGCAGGCCATCCAAGCCTCCTTGTCCTCTTCAGGCCCCCCCTCCTCTCAGGTGTCCCTCAGGGATTGACCAAGGGGGAATTCATGCATCAAGGGTATGGCGATGGTCATAATGGTAGAATGGACCGACAATTCGACCAGCGACAACCTCTTTCCTTCCAGCATCCAATTCAAGTTGCAATCTCATGCTTGTCAATTCTGTCCAACCAAGGTCTAGGTACTCAATACAACCAGGACAACACTTGAGCGCAAGTCGCTCCTCCCACATGATCCCATAGCCAGCCCACAGGGGCTTTAGCACTCTGAGCAGTGTTGATCATCTCATCGTCAAGGCCCCCCCTTCTCCAATCCATTAATTGGGGGCCGTGGCGCGAGCCCATCTCCACTACCCTGCAAGTCCTACAACTCGTGCTGAACAGCAGTGTAGCAGTGTTTCCCTCCCTCCCAATTGCTCCCCGCCTGCACAGCTGCACATCCTCCGTCATGCCCTCATCTCTGTGCCTTGGGAACCTGAGTGGGAACTTGGAAGGCATGGACGGTGGCATGGCATGAGGCGGTCAATGCTTCTTCCAGAGCGCCAGAGAGCTCTTTGTCTCGTCCGTAAGGCTCACCGTCTCCCGTGGCTTCCGTTTGCCTAGCCGACTCGTGTGCAAAATGATGAGAGAGTCAACTTAACAAGTACGTTGGGCACAAGGCTTTCCTACCCAAGACAGCATCAACAGTTTCTTGCTGCGAGCTGCGAGCTGCGCGAGCTGCAAGGACACACCCATGCACCCAAGTTTCGGTGCCTCACTTAATCTCAAGCCCAACCGCAATTCCCTGGATATCTATCCAGTGCTTGTTCTCTCTCCTCGCCTCCGCCCTCTCCTCCGCCTTCCCATCCGCCT